GCGGCGAGCTGGCTAGCACTGCTGGTGGCATGCTGGCTAACGCGGCTGGCGAGCTAGCGAGCTAGCTGGCTAACGTGCTGGCTAGCTGGCTGGCGCGAAGGTTGGCGTGCTGTCTAGCGCACTGGCTAGCGGGCTGGCTAGCACACTGGTGGGCGTGCTGGCTAGTGTGCTGGCCAGCGCTTTGGCTGGCGCGTCGGCTAGCGTGCTGGCTTGTGTTGGCGAGCGTGCTGGTTAGCGTTGGCTTGCCGGCCTGCTGGCTGCCGTACGAAACAGTATGAACGCTAGTGGCGGGGGGGGGGGGGGGGGCGGAGAGTCGAGGCTACGGAGCGCGAAATTGGAGGGCAGGAGGTGCACGAAATTGAGAGGGGCACACGTGCGGGAAAAAAAAAAGAAAAAAAAAAGAAAAGAAAAAAGCTACAATAACGCAGAAACATGAGTAACGGCAGAAGCGTGAGTAACGGCGGAAAAAAAACAAACTAGCCTAGCTCAATACCATGTTAGAGTAGCGGGAAAAGTGTGACTAAGGGAAAATGTCGAGGGATACAAACTAGGGCTGTACTCGCTAAGAACTAAACTAGCTAGGCCATAAACAAATACCGTATTCCCCCGGATATACGCGCCTAGGTGCGTTGAGGGATTCTAGTCAAAATTTCGGGGTTGCGTTTATTCAAATTTTTGCAATATGGCCCAGAGCGTTTAAAATGGTTTTTAAAGAACAATAAAAAAAAGGTATCAAAATGTATTTCTAACACAATTCTTATTTCTGCAGCTGTGAATACAACAAAGATTTGCATGAAACTGGTCCAGAAACATCGAACCCGCCAGGCGTGCGTGGATGCTGCCAAACGGACAAACCACGAGCACAGCGGGGCGGACGCTGTCACAACTGAAATGTAGGTTTTGTTGCATTGGCGGTTTTGTGCGAATATGCTGCCTGGTGGTCCAATCGCAGCTAGATGCACGACAGGCAGCATCCAGCAAGGCGAGCTGGATGCTCTAGAAGAATTTGCTGGCAGCTTCGTGCTGCCACGGCGATGCCCTCTCAGCTCGGTAAGGGAGAGGAATCCTCATCGTGCACCGTCATGGGCTGCACGAAGAGGAATTCCCCACCGAGGAATTGGGGAATACCTGGTTGAAGATTCATTATTTCAGCAACTTCTCAACCACGCGTCCTCATGCTTCCTCTCACGCCAGGCTGCCACTATGGCTGGCCTTCCACCCACAGCCATGTCTGTTCTGTTCGGCAGCCATGGTACACCCACACGCCTCTCTAGACAGGACATAGCTGCTGCTTGAGCTAGTAGATTTGGTGGTTTCCGTGCTGCCCCCCCTACTCCTCCTACGCCGCCCGCTCCTCCCGCTCCTCCCGCGCCTCCCGCTCCCCTGACTCCTCCTGCACCTTGGCCCCACCAGCCCCTCCAGCGCCCTCTGCTCCTGGGAGCTCGAGTCCTTGGTCTTCGCGGTTGCCCCTGACAGAGGTCGACGGAGTTCCTGTTCTGACGTTGCTGCTGCCCGGCGACCCATTTCCACCCTAGCTAGACCGATGCGATGTTGAGAGCGTCTCGGACGAGGAGGAGGCTCCCGAATCCCCACGTGCTCGTGACTGGGGGATTCCCAACGGTGATGACTGGCCGGAGCGCGACCAGTGGGAGGAAATGGATGAGGAGGAGGCGGAGTACTGGCACCGTGACGGGCTGCCCGTGAAGCTGCCCATCCCAACATTCCCCAAAGGTCGAAGCCGCCCTCATCCAACGACGACGAACTTTGACAGCCGCCCTCCCTCCCCCAGATCTAGGATGACCCGGCGCAAGCGAAGGGCGTACACATCTCAAGAGAAGCTGTATTGGCTGGAGCAATGGCGGGCCCTCGACAAGAACCGGCGAGCTGTGCAGCGCGAGTCGGGCATTTTGCGCCGTCGAATCCGCGAGTGGGAGCTCGCTGAGGACACGTTGAATGAAGCCGCGGTGTGCCGCAAGCGACTGCATGGCCATGGGCGCCGCAGCTAGTACCAAGACATGGAGCTTATCGTATACGACAAGTTCTTGAAAGACCGTGCAAAAGGGACCCCTGTACCTGTGAAGAAGCTGCAGAAGTGGTCGAGAGAGCGGATGAAGACCATGCAGCCCAACGTGGAGTGGATGGCTTCACATCGGTGCGTATATTAGGTACCCTGAGTTCCAGAACTGCAACGTACAGGTGCCATTTTGGGTTGGGAAAAGAGGGGAGTAGAATATAAGGGGTAAATGGTGGGTGACGAGTAGAGAGCGAGAGTGGGGGTACAGCAGAGCGCGGATGCACAGGAGAGAGCCATGGTACAGCATAGAGGGGGGGAACAGCGGGGAGCAAGAAGAATGGAGGCACATGAGAGAGTGGAGGGACAAGGGAGTGAAGGATAGGAGAGAGTTTGGATAAAAGGGGGTGGGGGGGTGGGGCTTGAGTCGAAGGGATAGACCAAAAGAATGGTGAGATGACTGTAGGGGGCAGGGAGATTGAGAGGGGGTGATTCCTGCTAAGAGCAGGGAATCCAAAGACGTGGGAGGGTATAGGAAGTGGGAAACAACAAGCCTGTCGCACTCCTTTTCGCTTGTACCCCCACTCCTTGCCCCTGTACCCCCTCCGCTTTCGCCTTGTACCTCCCCTCCTTGCCCCTGTGTACCCCCTCCACTTCCCCTTGTACCCCCCCTCCTTGCCCCTGTGTACCCCCCCCGCTTTCCCCTTGTACCCCCACTCCTTTCCCCTTGTACCCCTATCTCCCGGCCTCCCCTATCTCCCTGCCTCCCCCATCTCCCTGCCGTCCGATCTCCCTGAATCCCCATCTCCGACTACCCCATTCCGACTAACCCTTTCCCCCATCCGCCTACCCCATTCCCCCATTCCGACTACCCTCTTCCCCCATCTGCCTACCCCGTTCCCCCATTCCGACTGCCCCTTTCCCCCATCTGCCTACCCCGTTCCCCCATGCCGACTGCCCTTTTCCCCCATCCGCCTACCCCGTTCCCCCATTCCGACTGCCCTTTTCCCCCATCCGCCTACCCCGTTCCCCCATTCTGACTACCCCTTTCCCCCATCCGCCTACCCCGTTCCCCCATTCCGACTACCTCCTTCCCCTATCCGCCGACCCCATTTCCCCATTCCGACTACCCCTTTCCCCCATCCGCCAACCCCGTTCCCCCATTCTGACTACCCCCTTCCCCCATCCGCCTACCCCGTTCCCCCATTCCGACTGCCCCTTTCCCCCATCCGCCTACCCCGTTCCCCCATTCCGACCTCACCTTTCCCCCAGTTCACATATCTCTTGTCCATATCCCGCGTGCCGCTTTGTAAGGTGACAAGTCAGCCGTCATAACGGAGTTCACGCTGCGACGCTGGCTGAAACGCCTAACTCATCGAGCCTAACTCTATCTCGTCAAGCCTATGTCGAGCCCATCACGCCGAGCCTGACTCGTTTATCTGTCTCGACAAGCCTTACTCGTCGGTCTATTTCATAGTGCCTAGGTCGTTTATCTATCTCGTCGTGCCTATTTCGTCAAGCCTAGCACGTCGGCCTAACCCGTCGGCCCAACTCGTTCCCCTTTCTTCTTACTATCATCAGTACAACATTTCTTCTCGTTTTCTTACGAAACTAAAACCTCCTACACATAGGAGGGACTGTTCTTGCCCCGCTAAACCAGCGACATTTTTTTAGGATAGGCCTCGAGACCGCTGTGGCTTCCTAAGTTAGTCTACGTGTAAAAATAGCCTATGTCTGAAAACTAGAAGCACACCCGGGGCTCACTTGTAACCATGGGCTGTAACAGGTGGTCGCATGCCCTTCTTTTTGGTTTTGAGGGTGTCCGAAGTAGAGAGTTGACGCCAGCTAAGCTTAGCTGACGTCAACTCACCGGCAAGCTCGACGTCAAATGTGGACGTCAAACCAGACGCAAATCTCAACTTCGGACATGCTCACTCTCTCAAGTCCGCCCAAAACGAAATACGGTAGAAGGTTTTTCGACCGGGCAAGCAAAAAATAGGGAGCGACCAGCATACTGAAAGTTACCACATCACAAAACAATCATCCTATTCCCTCCCAACGACCAGCAGGGGATTTGCAAAATCGTTTTCGTTGGTTCGGTGGGTGTCCTAGGGGTTCCGTGGCATAATTTCACGGTTGCCTGCTAGTTGAAACTGTTGTGATATAATTGATACTTAGCATTTCTGTAAGTCGATTAGGTGTAGATAGTGTCGAATCCTACTGTAGAACATAAGTCCGTAGAATGACGTCAGCAAATAGCGCTCGTCATAGGACAGTCGTTTCAGTCACGCGAACAGTCGCACCTCTTCATTATCGTTTAGGGCGCATAGCGCGATAGTGACGAACAGGTACATTAGCGAATAGGTACTTTCCTAGAGCTATAAATCTTTGTTGTGTCCTTTTTTATTGTTAACCTTGAGATTTCAACTTTGAGAACTTTGAGACTTAAACTTCAGCAAAACTTTTACTCAGGTTCATTCTTACAAGACTTCCGCTGTCTTACTAGTCTACCATTCGAGTAAAGATCCTGGACCAACACTTGAGGATTTCCAAGTGTTCGTGTTTGCAGTTTTATACTTAGTCTTCTACAACATTGGACAAGTTATTTCATGGTATGAGAGCTATCTGGAATTAAGACTACTGTCAACAATGACTGGTTCATCACCAGCACCGTCTGCCGGATCAACTTCCGGAACTACTGGAGTACATGTCTCCACTACCGCCACTGGTCTCTCAGCCTCTGGGCCGTTTCCACCAGCCTATGCTCATATCGGTATGCAACAGCAGACTCCGCCTTCTGTTAACACTCCAGGTGTTTTTTCGACTGCACCTACAGCGCAACAACAATAATCACAGACAACAGCACAGCAACAAGCGTCAGTACAGCCACCAGTTTCAACGCAATCAATATCATCAGCGTTCAGTGGAATGAGCCTTGACAGCTCAAGTTATATGCGTGGAGCCACAGCTCCAAGTACTGGTTCGTTCACTTTCTCACCTTTTGTACAGCAGCCGCAGTCGCAGCAGTTTCAGAATCCCTTCTATATTTTCGGTCGTTCCCCTGCTCAGCAACAACAGCAGCATCATCAGTAGCCACAACAATTCCAACAGCAACAGCAACAACAGCAACAACAACAACAACAACAACAACAACAACAACAACAACAGCAACAACAGCAACAGCCCGGTATTATTTTTCAGCCTCCAAATTTACTTAACAACACACTGATAAAAACCACTATACCTTTTAACAGAGTCGACTTCTAGTCCTGGAGCTTTGAGTTTGAGCTTCTGGCGCAGTCCGCTGGGCTATGGCCGTTCTTCACCGGCCAGTTCACGTATCCTGTCGTGGGAACACAACTGGAGCAGCAGAGTTTTTTGCACGCCTCTCTCGGGTCTTATACAGTTCTTGTTCGGAACCTGTCGCCGAAGGAGCAGCTCGGCGTCCGATCATTTCACTCAAGCTTTACACCAGCCGAAACTGCTTGGAACCATCTGAAGGGGGTATACATGGCAAAGGATACAATAACAGTGAGTAAAATACTTTCGCAGCTGACAAGTGTGCAGATGATGACCAAGGAAAACGTCATGGACTACGTTAATCGCGTCCGTACACTACGAGATCAATTGGAGAAGAGTGGAGGATACTTCCCTCGTGAGATGTATCTCACGGTACTTCTTGCTGGTCTTGGACCCGAATGGCGACAGACACGAGCCTTCCTGCGAATGAACCCGAACCTTTTCGAAGCCGAAATTTCTTCATATCTTCAAGCAGAGCAGCAAGATCTTGACCTGCAGTCACAACGCAATTACAAGAAAGGGGTTCATTTAAGTTTTTACTCCAATCCAGAACCACACCATCGACAGCCTCCAAAATATCCATTCTGCCATTTTTGTAAGAAACCAAGACATACTTACCAAAACTGTCGCAGCCGCCATCAAAATCGTCGCAGCACTTCTCAGCCATATCACCGATCGCAGCAGTTAACGAAGACACAACAGCCACCGCAGCAGTTACCGTCTCAGCAGCAGCAGATGCCGAAACCGCCACAGAATTCATCAACGTCACAGAATCGCCTGCCGGTCGTCGCATCTGCCACATCAGGAAAAGGGGTTTTTGGATGTATTACCACAGTTGATATTTCCAAAGCAGATTTTGAGACACAACTTGAAGAAACCAACAGTGCGGAAGGCATTCCCTTACCTCAAGTTTACGCTAACCTTGCTCGAATAATTTCAGGTCCGAATACTTGGTATCTCGACAGCTGCTGCGGTTGGCACATGTGCTCCGCAGAAACAAGCTTCATTATGAACCAGCGTCCACCTCGTCGTCCGATACCTGTCGCAGTCGCAAATGGACAAACTATTATGGCACGTTCTGTTGGGAGTGTAATGCTCGAATCTATCGACACGGGATATTCACTACACGTTACCAATGTTCTTATCGTCGCTGGGCTTGGTTTCAATCTTCTCTCCACGGCTCAGCTCCTGGCACACAAAATACGCACACAGGGCAATTGTGAAACGATGGATCAAGAACTCTGGCACAGTTCAAAGAATACTTACCTTGGTCGTGCCGCCACTCAACATGGCGTGTCCGTTCTTCAGTTCGCCGCCCAAGGAACTTCTGGAGATTCTGAACGCGTTCTTGCCCTTGGTCCCTGGGATCACCCAGAAGAAACAAATTATCAGCACGTGGATATTGATTTTCGAGCAACAACTGTACCAACGGCTTCTCGAACTGTAGCCGCCGTACTTACCGCTTTGGATACCTGGGAGTTCAATACCGCCGATTGAAAGCGCCACCGCGTGGAGAACGTTTTATAATACCCGTGCGGCTCTTCAAGGAACTCCAGCTCCACTTTGGGGAGAAATTAGTGGCCTAGCAGCTGATGAACCTGACATCGTTGAAGAAGTCGAAAAGGATAAGAATAGTCTTCTCCTACCTGACGGCACGGAGATGAAGCCGCAGTCTCGTCCCACGGTTTGCACCACGTGCCCGGTCGCCAATCTTATCCACGATCCGTTTCCAAGTCACTTTCCTGGCTCCACACGTTATAAGCTGATGCAGAAAGTTTACAGCGACATACTAAACTTACCTGAAGCAGGACCTAAAGAGGAGCAGTACGTGATAACCTTCATCGAAGCCTCTACACACTACGTCTGGACAGCAAATCTTCCCGCTCGTTATCTAGCTCACTCTGTCTTCGTCGCATGGCTCGCTGTCGCTGAACGAGAGTCAGGCGTGAAACTGCAAGAATTTCAGAGTGATGGTGCAGGGGAGTACACCAGCAACACTTTCACCGAATACCTTCAGACACTCGGCATCAAACGAAAGCAGTCACTGCCGCATGCACACCAACAGATGGGGGTAGCAGAACGGATGAACCGAACACTGCAGGAGAAGATGCGTGCGCTGCTGACGTAGGCAACTCTTCCTCCTCGTTTTTGGCCATATGCGATGGACCACGCCGTGCTGTTACACAACCTTCTTTCTTCAACATCCCTGCCTGAGTTCTCTTCTCCACACCTGTAGTGGATACGAACAGTGGGAAGTACCAAACTTTTACGAGTTTTCGGGTGTGTTGTGCAGTTTCGTCCTCCTACTGTAGCACTCGGGAAGTTTTCCGAACGAGCAAAATGGGGGGTACATCTTGGCATCGAAAAACAGTATCACGCCTGGAAGATTTTGGATCTTCGCTCCAACCAAATCGTCCCATCACAAGATTGCCTCTTCTATGAAAGACTCACCTTGCCCGTTTTCCGTGCCCACCAGGCAGCAGCTGCCAGCCCCGCCAGGCTGTTCGAAGGCTCGCGTGCATTTGCATCTGACGAAGCCGAAGCTGATGTACAGGACAAAGCAGCTTCTAAAGCATCCGAAGCTACTGCAACTGACATTCCCGAACCTGTAACCTCGACTGGCATACCAGAGTTTATTCCTCTTGCAGATGCTGACCAAGATGACGTTCGCGAAGTCCACCTCAGTTATGAACGCGATCGTCAACAGCAGCCAATGTCCGCCGTCTCCGACGAAGCAGTTCGTGTTACACCTGACGAAATTGGGGGGGAAGAAGGACCAGAAGAAAATTTCGCAGGTGCAAACGAAGAACGTCCGCGTTTTATAGAAACTAGCTTACAGATACTTGGATTTGCAGTAGCAGTACAGTACAACGACAGTAAGGTACTTGAACCGAAAACCGTTCGACAAGCTCTTACGGGCCCTCATCGAGAAAAATGGCGCGAAGCCATGGACAAGGAGCTCGCAGCTCTTAAGAATCGTGGCACATGGGATTTAGTACCGACTTCAGAAGTAAAAAGGAAGAAGGTACTTACTGGAAAATGGGTCTTCCTCGTCAAGACTAATGCAGATGGGTCGTTTGAGAAATTCAAGGCGCGCTGGGTCGTCCGTGGGTTCGAGCAAACTTACGGCATCGACTACGAGCTAACTTTTGCTCCTGACGGTCGACATACAAGCGTTCGGATTCTACTCTATGTCGCCGCCTGCCATAATCTCCGACTTCGACAAATCGACGTGTCAAATGCGTTTCTCTACGCGCCCGTCGACGCACTCATCCTGGTAGAGTATCCGCATTCCTATACTACTAACCCACCGAGCGTATGTCGTCTCCGAAAATCGCTGTACGACATTAAACAGGCACCACGGCTCTGGCAGCAGTATCTCCACTCACAGCTGATCACTGCCGGATTTCGTCAGTTACCGCATGACCAGGGAATGTATCTTCTAACTGACGGCAGTAAATATATTTTACTCGTGGCCTACGTCGACGACATTCTCTACGTCAGCACTACTGATTCGCTCGCCGATATTTTCATACCGAAACTACAGAAAAACCTATAGCTTACCGTCACAGAAACAGTTTCACAGTTTCTCGGTCTAAATATTACCTGTTCACCAACAACGATTCACCTCACTGCCTCGAAGCACGCAGCGACGCTCGCTGCCCGCTTCAATCTCACTCCTACTGCAGTCTCTACACCATACTGCTCACTACCGACTGACCACAAACCGAACACTGCACTGTTAAATTCAATTGGTTTACAGACCTATCAACAGCAGTTAGGCTGTTTACTGTTCGCCGCTGTTACTTGTCGTCCAAATCTGGCCTACGTGGCTAGTCAGCTCGCTCAGTTCCTACGCCGTCCTGAAGAGGAGCACCACCTTGATCTTCTCCGCGCACTTCAATATTTTGTCTCGACTCCTGACGTCGGTTTAGTCTACAACGTCATCGGTTGCAAAACACTATACCTATACGGTTTCGTCGACGCCGATCACGCTGCTGACTCTACTAATCGACGGTCGCGCACTGGATTCATCTACCGGCTTGAACCTGTCGGACCTATTTCTTGGAATTCGACGAAGCAGGAGTTGATTGCTCTCTCCTCTGCTTAGGCTGAGTTCATCGTTGTCTGTACAGCAACACGTGAAGGACTTTACTTACAGGAACTATTGGAAGAAGCGAAGTTGACGACGACTACCCAGTTTACCCTGCAGTGCGACAATCAAAGTGCAATTCAAATCGCGCACCAGCCTAGTTTCGTCAACAGGACGAAACACATTTCTCTGCGTTACTTTTTCGTCAAGGATGAAGTCAAGAAGGGGAGGATGCGATTGGTCTACTGTTCGACCAACGAAATGGCTGCCGATTTCCTCACGAAGAAGCTGACGCGACAGAAGTTCCAGTACTGTAACAAGCTTTGCGGGATCTTCAAGAAGTGACACTATCGAATGTCCAGAAATGAAGGGGAGTGTTGTGATATAATTGATACTTAGCATTTCTGTAAATCGATTAGGTATAGATAGTGTCGAATCCTACTGTAGAACATAAATCCGTAGAATGACGTCAGCAAATAGCGCTCGTCATAGGACAGTCGTTTCAGTCACGCGAACAGTCGCACCTCTTCATTATCGTTTAGGGCGCATAGCGCGATAGTGACGAACAGGTACATTAGCGAATAGGTACTTTCCTAGAGCTATAAATCTTTGTTGTGTCCTTTTTTATTATTAACCTTGAGATTTCAACTTTGAGAACTTTGAGACTTAAACTTCTGCAAAACATATACTCAGGTTCATTCTTACAAGACTTCCGCTGTCTTACTAGTCTACCATTCCAGTAAAGATCCTGGACCAACACTTGAGGATTTCCAAGTGTTCGTGTTTGCAGTTTTATACTTGGTCTTCTACAACATTGGACAAGTTATTTCAGAAACAACACAGTGTGACGTCAAGTTGGACTATTGGGTTTCAGGAGCCCTACTTCGGCCACCGGAAATCGGAATTGTAGCGTGTGCAGTTGTGGTAACCCTCTTTTAACATCGGTGACGTCCCATCTGTGCTACTTCGGACACCGTCTTAGCAATGCGACCCTCAGACTCGCCGCGTCGTGTTCCTTATTGGGGGTACGGTCCGTTTTGTATCGTCAGCGAAATAGTGTGGGCTGCAAGTTCCCAGCATTTGTTTTTTCGAGCCTGGGAAAGTGTACCAGTGGAAGTCGGATCCTTTCCTCTGACCGCAATAAGAACCCAACTTTCAAGTGCTCCCCCCCTTTGCTATTCTAGCCTGTGGTTTTAACAGCAGCAGGCCAAAACATGCATGTGCTATGCTGATACAATACGCGCCAAGCTGTGTTGGTGTCATGATGACAGCAGTCTCCCCCGCCCCCCTCATCGTTCACCACATTTTGCTGCTCCCTATACCCACCAATGTCCCAATACTGTGCCTCTCTTCCCTTGCCTTTTGCATACTCTCAGACTTTGAGGAGGCTCCTCAGCCTGTTTGACAAATCTCCTCTTCCTCCCCCGCTCCACATGCGTGTCGTCTGCTCTCCTAACTCGGTCCCCCAGTACTTTCGAACCAGCGCCCTCTTGCCCTCCACCAACCACTTTTCCGCATCCGCTGCCCACTCTCCCACCGCACACAGCCTCTCACAAGTGCATCACTCCCGATCATCCATCAACCGATTGAGATATGCCACTCTGCGGGCCAGCCTAGCCTCGCCCCTGGCAGCGACCTCAGCCAGCACGCACCTCTCCTCCTGCTCGCCCTTCTTCAGCTCTGCTTTGAGAATCCCCCAGTACTTCTCCACCAGCACCCTCCTCGCCTCCACCATCTGCCTATCCGCCTCCTCTGCGCGCTCCCCTATTTCGCACAGCTTCTCCTTTGTTGCCTTCACTGCCAGATTCACCGTCGTCCTCGTCTTCCTCTCTGCCTTCGTCTTGCAGTACCACGGCCCCAACTTGCTCTCCTCGCCACCGTCTTTCCCTTTTGCGCCGCCCTTGTTCGCTTTCCCGTCCCCCTCGTTCGCTTTCCCGCCCCCCTCTTTCGCTTTCCTGCTCTCGTCTTTTCCTTTCGCACCCCCCTCATTCCCTTTCCCACCCCCCTCTTTCCCTTTCCGACCCCCCTCCTTCCCTCTCCCACCCCCCTCCTTCCCTCTCCCACCCCCCTCCTTCCCTCTCCCGCCCACCTCTTTCCCTTTCCCGCCCCCCGCTCTCCCCTTCCCGACCCTCTCTCTCCCACAACCGCTATCCGCACCAACATCTTCTCCCTCTCCCTCATGGCTTTTCCCACCCAGGCCTGCCTCCCCTTGCTCTTCCTCCTCGCTCCCTCCCCTTCTCCTGTCCCCCCCTGCCTCCTCTCTCGCACCCTCTGCCTTCCTCTTCCAGCCACGCGGCCCTTGACTGGGGGAGCGTGCAGTGGGAGCGGCTGCAGGAGCTTTGGAGGCAGCAGCAGCAGCGGCAGCAGCAGCATTAGCAGCGGAAGCAGCAGCGGCAGCGGCAGCAGCAGCATTAGCAGCGGAAGCAGCAGCGGCAGCGGCAGCAGCATCATGAGCAGTGGCGGCAGCAGGACGAGCGGCAGGAGGACGATTATTGCGACCAGCCCGCTGCTGTGGGATGGTTGAAGTGGCAGAAATCTTCAACCCCCCGCCACTGGAAACGCGGAGCACGCTCAACCCAGGAGCAGCAGTAGCTTGAGCCCTCGTCACGCCCTTAAACGTCCGCTCATTCATACACCCGCCAACAGCAGCAGCAGCAGCAGCTGCTGCTGCAGTCTGCACCTGATGCGTCCAGTCAGTGGGGCACGGCACACTGGCTGCATGCAGGAAGACACATATCTCTTTGAACCGCCGCGGCCACTTGCCCTGCATCCTCCTCGGCGGCACAGTAGCCGGAGCTCCGCTGCCGCCCGCCTTGTTCCGCCTGGGCGGCATGCTCTGGCGGTACTCCTTGAGTCGCTTGACAGCACGGTGAATGTTGGCCGGGTATTCGTCAAATTTCTGCAAGGGCAGGAAAGGGGGAGAAGAGGTGGGGAAGGGGGGATGGAAGGGGGGGGGGAGGGGAGGGGAGGGTGAAGGGTGGGAGGGGTGACGGGTTGTTCTGATGTAAATGACCGAGAATTTGTACCTATTTTGGAGTGTGTGGCTAACCTCAAATCCGTATTTTCTGTGACATCGTCACATCGTACCATTTTTGGTTGAATGGCTCTGTGGGTGGTGATCTTCAGGCCGATCCGGTCCAGCACGGCTTGCAACGGGCCAATCGCGTGCTTGCCGTACTTCCAAAACGTCTGGTACACCTCCTTATGTCGCCACGTCAGCACCCGCCATGCTGCGGCTTGTCCATCCGAAACCGGTGCTCTCTCTGACGGCGACTTCATGCGCCACTCAATCCGAGACTTCATCACCAGGTGGAGAGCGGTGCAAGGCAGTGAGACGAAGTGAGAGGTGGTGAGAGGAGTTGATAGGTGGTGAAAACTCTCTCTGAAACTCTCACTAGTCGCCGCTGGAAGCCGTTTCGCCCTGTTACTTGGCGGTTCAAGACGGTGATGCTCTTATTGCGCTCTAACAACGTTCAGGTGTATTTTGAGTCGACTCAAAATACACCTGGTGATGCTCTTATTGCGCTCTAACAACGTTCCCCTGGTAAGAGACCCCCCATGCTGACAAGCGATTTCACGGTCAAAGAATTTCCCTGTAAATAAAGTACCCTGCAAAGGAATTTCCCTTTCTCACGGAAGCAAATGCTTCAGCCGCTAGGCGGCAGGAACGCACCGCAGGCGCTTGGGCGGTAAGACGCCTGCGCGAGCCGGGTAAGGGAAGTGAAGACACGGGGAACGAACTCCGTGGAGGAACAGCTGGGTTGGCGGCGATTTTGAGTTGACTAAAAAATCACCTGCGCGAGCAGGGTAGTGGAAGCGAAGATAAGGGTTGGCGCCATGAGAACCGCCGCAAACAGCTTCGGAGTGATAGCTTAGGCTAGTGCCTGAACAGAAGAAACCGACAACATACCAGCATAAGGAACCCAAATCAGGTAGTATGCTGAGCGAATGTCTTGATACCCAACAGCTAGGCGATAGAGTCACAGCAAGGGCCGTAAGATGCGAGAACAGCTATGGCGGGCGAATATGTGAAATTCTACGTGAATTACAGTATCGTGAAATACGAGACTTCAGTGGCATAGCTGGCCCTGTCCGTGACTGACAGAAAGGCCGGAAGTCACAGACGACAGAGAGTATCGCGCGAGTCGTCGTGACGCTGACGGTGACTGAGAGTCCCAGTCCCAGATTTCAGCATACGGGGTGCCGTTGGACGAGGTTGGCTCCATCCGCTGGTTAGTTACCCGATTTCTAAATGCTTTCCAAACGACGGGTGATGAGATTGACGAAGAGTGGTAATTTCGCCAGTATTACCCTGTTCTTCGTTTTTGTCTCGCAGCCAATCGTGCTTCGACCACGCCTTTGTCGCCAAGTCTCTTTCATTCCAAACCAGAACTACCCCTCGAGGGGGTGCCGAGTTCAGAAGTGCAGCGCTGGAGCTATCACTCATCCTCAGTCAGAGTTCCCAACTTTTAGGCTTTTCTTTCACGCTAGCCATGGTGGCTAGAGGCCTCTCGGTGCCTCTTCCTCCCTCCTTGCGACCTCGTCAGTCCTCCCTCTTGCGATACATCCTTCGTCTATCCCCGTGCAATCTCCCGGCCAATCCAAAACTTTCTGCCATTTCGAGAATCTCCACCATGTCCAACCTCTCCGCAGTCCCACCGAGCAGACCGCCCAATGCAATCGCCAGAAACCCTCGCCGGTCTAGAATCCTCAACCAGGCCGCATGCGCAGCTCATTTGAATCTCGTATCCGGCTCCGGCAATGCGTTGCATGGTGAATTGTGGAAACGAGGGTCATCGTGTCTCGGCGAGCGCGGACGGCCATGTCGGAATCACGCGAGATTCCCTTCGTGCTCGCCGCCTCACAGCGGTTCCCTTCTCGCCGCAAGTCGCCACTCGTGCCACGTGGATCGTAGAGCTTCAGTCGGCACTGTAGCGCGGAAAGCGGGTGCTTACCCTCGTTCCAGGAAAGCTGCTCCCTCCTCGTCTCCATGTCCCCTTACTAGTAGTCCTTCTCATTCTTCTCATTCTTCCCATTCCTCTCTCCGTTCGTTTTGCTCCCTGAACTCCGCATCCGCGTCCGCGTCGTTCTCTTCCTCCTCCGCCGTTAGGGTTAGGCGAGTAGCGCGAATCGGCAGCGTGGTAGTCGTTCAGGCTGGCAGCGACGCCGTGGATGCCGTTGCTGACGTGGATGCCATTCGGGCGGACACGTCAGCAGAAAAGGAGGGAACCCCACCTGAAGCAGCTGCTGACGAGGCTCTGGACGCGAAGGAAAAGGCGTTGGGACGAGCGAAATCCAGCGTGGAGAAAAGGATACACGTGGAGCAGAATATAGTGAGGCAGCAAGAGATGAGGGTCGAGCAAGAGACGGCGGAGGTGATGGCGGAGGGAGAGATGAGCGCGAAGGAGAGCTGGCAGGGGGATAACGGCCGGCTGTTGCTGATCGACGGCCATCCTGTCGTGTACCGGGCGTACCACCAAGTAGCAGGTGAGCAGGCTGCTGAACAGCCTGCCTCAAAAGTGTACCGCGCATGCCAGCAAGCATCAGTCGATGGTCGCCAAGCTCGCCTATCCCGCCTTGTTTTCCCGCCTTGTTTTCCCGCCGTGTTTTCCCGCCTTGTTTTCCCGCCTTGTTTTCCCGCCGTGTTTTCCCGCCATGTTTTCCCGCCGTGTTTTCCCGCCTTGTTTTCCCGCCTTGTTTTCCCGCCGTGTTTTCCCGCCTTGTTTTCCCGCCTTGTTTTCCCGCCGTGTTTTCCCGCCTTGTTTTCCCGCCTTGTTTTCCCGCCGTGTTTTCCCGCCTTGTTTTCCCGCCTTGTTTTCCCGCCTTGTTTTCCCGCCTTGTTTTCCCGCCTTGTTTTCCCGCCTTGTTTTCCCGCCTTGTTTTCCCGCCTTGTTTTCCCGCCTTGTTTTCCCGCCTTGTTTTCCCGCCTTGTTTTCCCGCCTTGTTTTCCCGCCTTGTTTTCCCGCCGTGTTTTCCCGCCTTGTTTTCCCGCCTTGTTTTCCCGCCTTGTTTTCCCGCCTTGTTTTCCCGCCTTGTTTTCCCGCCTTGTTTTCCCGCCTTGTTTTCCCGCCTTGTTTTCCCGCCGTGTTTTCCCGCCTTGTTTTCCCGCCTTGTTTTCCCGCCTTGTTTTCCCGCCTTGTTTTCCCGCCTTGTCTTCCGGCTCTCATACTTGTTCGTTTTACCTCATTCTTGTTGCCTGAAGCCCACTGCCCTTTTTGAGGTCGTGTCCATTTTGTGTGGCTGTCGTTGCAGCGCGGTTACACCACAGCGGGTACAACACTTTCGCACACGACGAGGACGTCATGGGCACGCTCTTCAAGTCCTTTGAGCAGGTGCGCTCTCCTCCAGGGTGGGCTGCATAGGGCGTGACCAGTTGGTGCTTGACTGGTTTGGAGCGTGACTGGTTTGGAGCGTGACTGGTTCGGAGCGTGACTGGTTCGGAGCGTGACTGGTTCGGAGCGTGACTGGTTCGGAGCGTGACTGGTTCGGAGCGTGACTGGTTTGGAGCGTGACTGGGTAAGGGCGTGGGCCAGACAGACATTTGACAGGGGTTGAATCTCCTGTGGTATACTGATGGAGTCTTTGGTTGTCAGGCTGCACGCATTTCTCAGCTCAGTTGAAGCTTACCCCCATCCCCCCTTATCCACACTCCTCTCTCCCTCACTCTTCCCTACCATCCCTTCCTTTCTCATCTTCTCTCTCTGTCTCAAGGTCGCATCAGATCGCCAACCTTCTGGCGATTTCTTAGGCCCTTATCCCCACCCTCCTCTCCCTCACTCTTTCCCTCACCCTCTCCCTCACTCTCTCCCGCACCCTCTCCCTCACTCTCTCCCTCACCCTCTCCCTCACTCTCTCCCTCACCCTCTCCCTCACCCTCTCCCTCACTCTCTCCCTCACCCTCTCCCTCACTCTCTCCCTCACCCTCTCCCTCGCTCTTTCCCTGTTCTGCCTTCCCTTGGCATCTGCTCTGGCTCGTGGTGGCGTCAGATTGTCAACCTGCTGGCCATGCTCCCAACCCACGTTGCCGTGAGTGGGGGGATGTGACAGCGTGGGAATAAGGCGACCTTTTGAGAATGTGACAATGGGGGGATGTGACAGTTTGGGGATGTGTGACAGTGTGAGAACGTGAAGTGTTTTTGTTGTGATAGGTAAGGACGTGACAGTGTAGGATGCGTCAACAATATGTGATGTGTGATGGTTCTTCTACTTCCATCTCCTGCCCTCCTGCATGTCTCTCACTGGTGCCGTACTGTTCCTCACCGCATCCATGCCCCTCACTGCATCCATGCCCCTCACTGCATCCATGCCCCTCACCGCATCCATGCCCCTCACTGCATCCATGCCCCTCACTGCATCCATGCCCCTCACCGCATCCATGCCCCTCACTGCATCCATGCCCCTCACTGCATCCATGCCCCTCACTGCATTCTTGCTCATCTATACCGTCCCATATCCCCTCTTCCCCTCGTTCCCTGCATGGTGAATGCATCGGTTCGTGGGTCCGCTGCCTGCTTCTGTCGCTGGCCAGCTAGTGTTTGATCACGGGGGTGAGTGAAGTATTGCACGTGCATTGCCTTGCACGCGTACATCCCGCCCGCCGGTCGAATGAAATCACCCCTTCGCCCCTTCTCCTCAAGGCGTCCCCGTTCCCCCCCCCTTCCATGCACACCCCATGTTCTGCCACGAGTCATCCTTCGTTTCCTCCTCATCCCCCCCCCCTCTTCTCTTCATTATGCAGACCCCACATTCCGCCACAAGTCCTGCCAGGACTACAAGATCCCTATATGAGGCTTCCTCGGTTTCCGCCTTCATCCCCCCTCCCCTCCCCTTCTCCCTCCTCCCTCGATGCAGACCCCACGCCCCACGAGTCCTTCCAGGGCTACAAGAGCGAGTAATCTCCCCAAGTCCTATATCCTATACCCTCTCTCGTCCCTCCCATCTCCCCTGCCCCCACAACAGACCCTACGTTCCGCCACGAGTCCTTCCAGGGCTACAAGAGCACGCGCCAGCCGCGCCCCGATGCTGTGAGCCGCGCCATGGAGCTCATGCAGGCTGCTCTGCGCGCCCTGGAGCTGCCATCCTTTGCTGTGAGTGCGAGGCTGGAGGTTACATGCATAAGGGCAAGGGGATTGTCTCGCCCCACGATGCTGTGGGGCGCGCCATGGAGCTCATGCAGGCTGCTTTACGCGCCCTGGAGCCTAAGTGGAGAAATACGCTTGGGCAGCCTAGCGTATTGCGTATATACGCTAGCGTATAATACGAATACGCTGTACGCTAGCTAAGTACGCAATATGCTAGTGTATTTCTTGACGGGCAGCTCGGCAAGAAATACGCAAAAAAATATGCGACAAATTTGCGACATGGCGAAACCCCACAGGGATTTCGCCATGTCGCAAACCGAAATTTGGCTTTTGAAATCAACCCAACCCCTTCGCCCCTCCCAACCGCACAGCATCCCACCCAATCTGCGACTTCCAAACAACACCCAAAGAAATCTCCTTCCTCTCCCTCACTCTACTCTACTCCAGCAGGGTTTAGCGCAGTTCACTCCTACGACGAAATCAGGGTACAAGTAAACTGGCGCGCTAACTTCAGCCATTTCTTCTTCCAAGCTAGCGCGACCAGCTAGCTGGTTTTTTAGCGACTGCTGCTATGTCGACCCCTCCACCTAGTCCTGGTTCCCACGAAAACAACGCAGGAACCTCCCGTACTGCGTCTTCCTCTGGCGAGCTCCTGGAGAACTCCACCCACACTGTCTTTAAGCATTTCAAGTTTAAGCATAAGGAGCACGGCAAGCAGCAAAAGTATTGGTGCAAGTACTGCCCCGTATCCTTTACTGGGACGGCCTACCGCTGCGCGCAGCACATCACTAGTTGGGATGGTATGCGTAGGCGCGAGGTTCGGAAATGCGAGGAGGTAGGGAAGGAGGAGCAGGCTGCTGTCCGCGCGTTCCAAACCGCCTAAGTGCTCGCGAGGGAGGAGGCGCTTAGGGCGGAGGAGTCGGCCCTCGACGCCGTTGGTGGTCGGGGAAAGCGGAAGATCAGCGATTACCTGTCCGATGACGCCCAACCCAAGCGTCCAAGGCGGCGGCGGACGAGGCTGTTTGCCTCCTCTTTGCCGGCCTCCGCCTTCCCGAGCGCCATGCCGACCACCCGCTTTGGCGCAACGCCGTCCGGTCCATTGCGCGCGCGGGGACCAGCTATGTGCCTCCAAAGCGCGACTATGTGGGTGGTGCCGGCTTGCAGCTATGCCGCAAGCGGATTGACGAGGGATTGACGGGCGTCATGTCGAGCTGGAAGCGCCACGGCGTGACGATTGCCAGCGAAATGATGACCGACAAGTGTGGCAGGCCACAGGCGAATGTGATGCTGGTCAATGACACTGGCGCAGTGTTCGTCGAGAGTATTGACTGCAAGATGGAGAAAAAGACCGGGGGATACATCGCCCGGCTCCTCCGGCCCATCCTGCAAAAGGTTGGGGTCGAGAACATCGTGGCGTTCTGCACCGATGGTGGCAGCAACTACCACAGCGCCTGCCAGCTCCTCATTGCAGAGAATCCGCGCATCGAGCATGTGCCGTGTGCGACGCATGTGCTCGACCTCCTTATGGAGGATGTGGGGCGGCAGGCTTGGGCCAAGGAGGTAGTGGGGCGGGCGAGCGAGCTCATCAACTACACCCGCAGCCACCATTGGACCCGACAGTATCTCAGGGGTGTGGACGGAGGGAAGGGGCTGCAGATGCTGAGGCCGGCGGGGACCAGGTTTGGGACGCAGCACATTGCTGTGTCCCGCCTGGTGGAGTTGCGGTCAACGCTGGTGACCATGGTGCTCTGCAATGCATGGAAGGCGGAGTGGGCGGTGGGCCTAAAGAAGGCAGCTGCAGAGACTTTCCACGACCAAATCATGGATAAGGACTGGTGGCCGGCGGCTGAGCTCTTCAAGAGGCTGCTCCTGCTCCCGTTCAAGGCCATGAGGGCGACGAATTCGGCAACGAAGGGGATGATGGGCCGCATCTATGAGCTGATGCTTGAGCTCACTGTGAATGTGGCAGAACTGCTGAAGGAGGAGGGGGATGGGGTGCTGAGTGCGGGAGACAAGAAGGGCATCAATGAGATTGTGAAGCGGCGTTGGGATGGGAGTATGGCTTGCCCACTGCACGTGGTCGGGCGGATTCTTAACCCGGCCAACCAGGAGGAGCGGATTTTTGGGCCGGACACGGAGTGCACCGATGTGTTCAAGGCTTTCATTGCCCGCCACTATGGGGGGGTGATGATTCCCCAGAGGGATGGCCTGCCCAAGCGTGCCACACTCCTCCTGCAGGAAGGGTTGGCCGCCATTCTGAAGTTGAGGGGCAGCTTCGGCACGGCTGAGGCCATAAGTGACCGGAAGTTGGTAAAGGAGGGAAGTTATTCCATGGAGGCGTGGTGGGAGTGGCACGACACTGACCACCCCTTGCTCATGGGCCTTGCTTGCCGTGTGCTAACTCAGCCGGTGTCCGCATCCAGCTGCGAGCGCAACTGGGCGGTGTGGGATACTGTCCACACCGCCCGACGCAACCGGCTGGGTTAAAAAAAGTGCAAGGATCTGGTTTACGTTGCGCACAACTGGAAGGTTGTGCACAACTGGCACATGGCCGACGAGGGGGCGGGGGTGGTGTCCGGGAAAATCCCAGACGCCCCCGTCCCTGCGGGGTACAGGGTGGATCGGGAGGAGGAAGATGAGGAGGGCGAAGATGAGGAGCTGCTGGACGAGTACCTGTAGAGCAGAGCAGGAGAGGGTTAGGCGGGTGGTTTGGGGGAGGCTTACCTGAGATGGGTGGTTGGCTGGTTGTTGGAGGAGTTTGGAACCCTTGACATGCCCTTGGTGGCTTGAACTATTTATTTATTACCATGCTAAATGATGCCACATTTGGTGGGGGGAATTTGGTTTGGTGCTCTGCACCCCCCCTCTTCCCTCCCCAAACAGGTTTTTTTTTACACCTGCCCGAGTTTTTTTTTACCTGCCCGCCAGAGCGTATTTCCTAGCGTATCCAATCCCGGAATCAAGCGTACAGCGTATATACGCTAGCGTATAATACGCTGTACGCGTATTTCTCCACTTAGCCTGGAGCTCATGCAGGCTGCTATGCGCGCATGACACTGAGTGAGGCGCATGACAGTGAGTGAGGCGCATGACAGTGAGTGAGGCGCATGACAGTGAGTGAGGCGCATGACAGTGAGTGAGGCGCATGACAGTGAGGCGCATGACAGCTCCCATCCTCCGCAGTGAGTCGGCGCCGTTGCTTCTCGACCACTTTGTTCCTTGGGCGACTGCAAACCATAGCGGTGCATGCTCGCCTCGCCCCGATGCTGTGAGCCGTGCCGTGCCATGGAGCTCATGCAGGCAGCCCCACGAGCACTGGAGCTGCCGTTCTTCGCAGTGAGTGCTGCTACTTTCTGTGCGGCTTGTTATGGCATGCTTCAGCGTCAGGGTGATTGGGATATCTGACCCCGACGCTGTGGGAGGTGCGCGTGGTCCTCATGTATGCGGCCCGAGTGGCCCATGTGGAGTGCCTGGAGGTTCCTGTGGAGGAGTGGCCCTCCTGCAGGCTGGCCTCCTTTGCAGTGAGTGCCCTTGTTACCAGCTAGTTTCTTGGGGCATGTTTTGTTCTTGAGAATTCTAAAAAACGAGTTCCAGCCACACCAGCCTCGCCCCGACGCTGTGGACCGTGCCATGGGGCTCAGCTCGTGCTGGCTTTTGCTCCACGTGACTGTGTGTGTTTTTGAGAATGCTAAAAAACAGAGCACTTCTGCTCCACGTGACTGTGTGTGCCCCACACTGCAGATATCCGGAGTGGAGGCCGACGATGTGATTGCAACCCTTGCTACAGAAGCACGTGATTACGGCATGAAGGTACCTTGCTTGAGGGAGGTGCGGCATGAAAGTAATTTGCTTGAGGGATGAAGACAAGGTGGGGAGTGAAAGTAAGGCGGGGTGTGTGTGATTGCAACCCTCATGAAGGTAGGGATGAAGGTAGGGATGAAGAGAGGGGTGAAGGGAGGTTGAGGCGGGCATAGTGTGATGCCTGAAGGTGGCATGGAATGGACAGAGGATAGATATCGCTGCACCCGACAGCGACTTTGCCTGGGCCTTCGGCACACTTCTTCTTCGTTGCATCTTACTTCTTCGTCTTTGCATCCTACTTCTCCTCCTGCCTTCCTCTTCCCGACAAAACTTCCAGCTTCCTCTTCCACCCCTCTCCCCTCCCCCGCTTCCTCTCACCGCCCTCTTCCCCCACCTCCTCCCCCCAAGTGCGCATAGCATCGCCTGACAAGGGCTTCTTCCAGCTGCTCTCCCCTAACGTTAAAACGCTGCTTTTGAGTCGACTCAAACACCCTCCTCCCCCCACTCCCCTCCCCCCCGCCCCCACTCCTCGCCCCCTCCCTCTTCCCCCACCTCCTCCCCCCCCAGGTGCGCATAGCATCGCCCGACAAGGACTTCTTCCAGCTGCTCTCCCCTAACGTTAAAATGCTGCGCCCCACAGTGCGCTCCAAGTCAGTGCACCTCCCCCCTTAAGTGACATTTGAGTCGACTCAAAAGGGTGTCAAGTCAGTGCATGCTCCCTGTTTTGTTCACGTTTGAGTCGACTGGGAAGGGTGTCAAGTCAGTGCATGCTCCCTGTTTTGTTCACGTTCGAGTCGACTCAAAGGGTATCAAGTCAGTGCATGCTCCCTGTTTTGTTCACATTTGAGTTGACGGTGTCAGTGCATGCTCCCTGTTTTGTTCACGTTCAAGTCGACTCAAAGGGTATCAAGTCAGTGCATGCTCCCTGTTTTGTTTACATTTGAGTCGACTCAAAAGGCACCCTAACCTTAGAATGCTGTGCCCCTCGCTCCTGCCCCAAGTCATTGCATTCGCTCACACGTTTCTGTCACTTGTGTCGTCTGCCAGCCAATTCCCTTCCTTCCAATGCATGCAACAAATTTTGCGTCCTGGGTACTTACCCTTCAATTGAGGATTTTCAGGGGGATTGGCGCTGTGTGCATCCTCCTCTTCTGCATTCCCCCTTTCTCGCATTCTCGATCTCATCAACAGACACAGCAGTCCGCGCAACAACACCTCACACTTCTACACGTACACAGAGGAGGACTTCCAGAGGGACTGGGGTGACAATCTTTCTCATCTCCGTCCCCCACCCCCCTCCCACAGACACGGCAGTCCGCGCAACAACACCTCACACTTCTACACGTACACAGAGGAGGACTTCCGGAGGGACTGGGGCGACGTGCCTCCGCCTCTCTTTGCTGACGTGCTGGCCCTCATGGGTGACGTCAGCGACAACATCCCAGGTGTGTTGTGTACCGATGCTATGAACAGCTCTCAGTGCGTTTGATTGCCGATGCCGGGAAGGGCACTTCAAGCATTCCTGAAGTGAGGAGCGCACATTTTTGTGGGTATTGGCAATTTACGCTCTCTCCTGTACCATGCATTTCCCCGCCCTTCTATGTTTCCATCTCTTCAGGGGCGCGTGGCATTGGCCGCAAGAATGCACCCAAGCTCGTCCGGAAATACGGTGGGTGCCGGGAATGCGGCGGGTGCCGAAAATACAGTGGGTGGTGCATCAGGATAGCTTGTCTGTTCTAACGAGCAGCGTGGACAGCCGGTGTATGTTGCTCCATCCATGCACAGATGCACTTGTGTCTGGTTTTGCCATCATGCCGTCATGCAATTTTACCATCATGCCGTCATGCAATTTTACCATCATGCCGTCATGCAACTTTACCATCATGCCGTCATGCAATTTTACCATCATGCCATCGTGCAATTTTACCATCATGCTGTCATGCAATTTTACCATCATGCCGTCATGCAATTTTGGCATCATGCCGTTGTGCAACTTTGCCATCGTACCATCATCACCTGCCATGTTCCGTTGCAGGTACTGTGGAGCAGATTTTGGCACAGCCAGAGAAGATACTGGACAAGAGGGGTCGAGAGGTAAGTTATGGGATGATTTTTCTTTCCATGAGGTCTTCTCAGTTTCGTTGTTCATAATAGCATTGTCATCTTTCACAAGCATTCACCCGCATTTATTGCCCGTATCTGTTTCCTTCTGTGCTGTGGATTTTTTTGCACATGTTTGTGTATGTGTGTGAGGGAGGGAGGGGTAAGGGGTGGGGGTGCGTGTGCGTGTGCGCATGTGCATGTGCAGGCAGTGATAGCCAGCAGAGATTCCATTATTCAATCCAAGGAGCTGGTAAGTCAAAGTAGCTTCTGTTTACAATTCTCTTTCTCATCCCCCCTACTCATCCACCCTCCCACCACCTACATACCTATCCCATTCACGTGGGCTAGTTGGCCTGTTCTATGTTTTGCAGCTTGTCAGCTGGCATGTTTACCCCGTTTTGTCTGGCAGGTGTCACTGCGCATGAATGTGCCACATGGCAAGACATGGGACAACCTGCGCTTTCACCCACCCGCAGTGAGTACAAAAGGGAAAAGAGAGGGGGCGGGGGGGGTGGGGAAGGGGGCGAGAGACATAGGTAGATGAGAGACATGGAGTGGGTCGCACAGAAGGAATGCAATGCCTGCGTTTTTTACAATGTGTGTGGAATGCTGGTATTTATGTTTGGTTTGCTTCTGTTGCAGGATGCCGGTGTTGATTTCTGGAAGTTCATGCACACGCTGGAAGAGGATTCCATTCAAATGAAGTCAGACATAAGGAAAAAGCTAGAGGCAGTGTGGTCAGAGATCAGAAAAAGTTGACACTTAAACCTTGTGATTTACACCTAGTATGAAGTTGCATAATTCTTTCATTTAGCCTTGTGTAATGTAACGAGTCAGCAACATGTCGAGTGTACTGCGACATTGACCTTGGGTGTGTCGCCGTCACACGGCCAACCACGGCCTCGGGATTGCCGGACAATTTCCCGTGGCTGGCTGAGTGGTGGCCAGGTCTACAGGAACAGTGGGTGCTTGCTCTAACCTCAGGCTTGTGTCGGTCGGTATGGTGGCACCTCCGGTTCCGCTGGAGTTTCACTGCCATAATCCACCCTTCCCCTTCTTCTTGAGCAGATTTCGCCATTCCAGCATCTGGTGACTGGTCGATTCATGGCTCGCTTCGTGCGTAGGCGACTCAGTGAATCTGACTCCCTTATAATGAGGGTCTTACAGCGAGCTTAGCGGTGCGACACGGTAGCGCTTGATGCGGATCGTTTATATTGGGCTGATGCGACCCTGCGATTTGGAGAGCAGAGTTCGCATTGCGTCTCGCAAGTTCACTCTACGAGCTCGCGTATATTTCGAATCTAGTGTGCATCCGACCTGGGATGAGCAGTCACGACTCACACGCCAGCTTTGCAACGGGTGCTGAACGCACCCTCTGGTTCTCGTAATTTAGGACCTAGACGGGCACGCTAACCCTGACAGACAACCTGGTTATTGCTCTGAGCCGTTGAGTTTTTCTTGACAGCGCTGACCACGGCACGAGCGTCATGGATGAAGTCAGAAGATTCGCGGAGAGCATGATCCGGACGGCGTCGAACCGAATCATGGCTAGCCCCCTCGACAACTCCGCGTCTCCTGCCGTCGTACGATCCTTTCAACTCACTTCGATTCGTGATCCTTTCAACTCACTTCGATTCGTGATCCTTTCAGCCCATCCGCGGACATAGTTTCCGTTTTAAAGAGACTCAGTTGCACCGCTTTGCACAAGCTCCCATGTTTACAAATCCCCCTTTTTCCCATGTCGGACCTCGGCTCAATAACGCACCATTCCATTCTCCAGTAATTTCCTATTCCTCGCATCCTTACCGATCAATGTCCCAACCCATCCACTTCTCCAAATCCACCTCTCACGCACCTTGCAGCTGGACACATTCCGGCCTCCGAATTCCGGCAGCAAGAGCAGTTCCAGTCTGGATCCTTCAAACCGCACGGGCAGTCCGAGCAGCTACCTGTCACGAGGAGGCATTCCGAACGGAGACAGGGACAGAGATAGAGGCAGGGACGGGGAGAGAGACAGAGACAGAGACAGGGACATGGACAGGGACTGGATCAGAGGAGTCAGCGGCCTTGGCAGCAGAAGCGGGGGTCCTAGCAGCAGTAGCAGCGGCGCATCCCGCCCTTCTCAGCGCACCCTAGTTTACTCCGACGCGTCTCCTGATCGCTCCCAGGGATCTCCCTCCCAGATCCTGCTCGCGCCTGGCTCCCCGCCTCGCTTCCACTCCCCCCTGCGCACTGCAAGCCCCCCCAGGTCCGCAGGCAGAGGCTTCGGCCCGGGTTTCTCTGGTGCCCCCTCCTCCTCGTCCTCCTCTTTCAACCAGCTAACCCTACTCGCCTCTGGCGACGATGGGTCAGCATCTCCAGTGTCATCATCATCAGGAGCACAATCCGCAGCTGCAGCAGCAGGATTAGGAATGGGAATGGGTAGTCGTACCCCCATGTCCGCCCCTCCGGCTGGTCGTAGCCGCATGGCCGCCTATTCCTCTCCGTCCCCAGACACCCGTTTTCTCAGCCCAGGCGACCGTCATCGCAGCCCTGGCGAGGGGTATGACTCATCGCCCTCCATTGCTGACGCGGCAGCTGCTGCCCTGTCTGACGTGTCCGAGGAGGATTTGCGGACGAGGACCCCCGTGATGGTGGGGAAGCGCGCGCTGATGGGCGTGGAGGGCATGGGCATGTCGGGGTCGCCCGGGTTCCTATCAGGGTTCATAGCTTCGAGGCCCAAGAATGACGATGCTGAGATGCTGGACCCTAAATTTTACCTCGAGGTGAGTATGCTGCTGGGTGTGAATCGGTGGGACCGATGATGGTGACTGGTTAAGCATACGGAAGCGCGCGTGGATGGGCGCGGAGGGCATGGGCATGTAAGGGTCGCCCGGGTTCCTGTCAGGGTTCATAGTGTCACCACCCAAGAACGACCATGCTGAGATGCTGGACCCCGAGTTCTACCGCCGCCTCCCCCGCACCTTACTCCTCAACCTGTCCCAGTCGTTGGACGCAGTGAGGGCGGAGCTATAGCAGCTACCACGGGACACAACGGCGCTGCAGCAGCTGGGCATGCACAGCGGGCTTAGGCTGCTGCAGCTGCACGTCTCATTAAGAGCCCGAAACCCCCTTCTTCCCCCCCCTTTTCTCCCCACCCCCACCCCCCCTTTATTCCCAGTCATTTGACGCAGAGCATGCAGAGCTGGAAAGCTTGCCGCGGGAGCCGGTGGCGCTGCAGTAGCTGGGCATGCACAGCGGGGGCGGCGGGTGCTGCAGCTGGATGTCTCATGAAGGGTTCCAAACCTCCTGCTCCCTCCCCCCCACCCCTGTTACAGTCATTTGACGCAGTGCGGGCGGAGCTGGAGGCGCTACCGCGGGACACAGTAGCGCTGCAGCAGCTGGGCATGCACAGTGGCCGGCGGCTGCTGCAGTTGGATGTGATCACGGAGCAGCTGGCCACGCAGGTCATGCACCACCACCAGGAAATGGGTGCGTCGTGATGGGTGTGAGGTGATGAGATGCGATTAGATTGCGGGTGCATGATTGTGAGACGCAGGCTGCTGCTGCAGCTGGATGTGATCATGGAGCAGCTGGCTGCGCAGGTCATGCACCACCACCAGGAAATGGGTGTGCGCTGGTGATGGGTGCGTGCTGTTGGGGGGGTGTGATGCTGATGGGGGGGTGTGATGCTGATGGGGGGTGTGATGCTGATGGGGGGGTGTGATGCTGATGGGGGGGTGTGATGCTGATGGGGGGTGTGATGCTGATGGGGGGTGTGATGCTGATGGGGGGTGTGATGCTGATGGGGGGTGTGATGCTGATGGGGGGTTGTGATGCTGATGGGGGGGTGTGATGCTGATGGGGGGTGTGATGCTGATGGGGGGGTGTGATGCTGATGGGGGGTGTGATGCTGATGGGGGGTGTGATGCTGATGGGGGGTGTGATGCTGATGGGGGGGTGTGATGCTGATGGGGGGGGTGTGATGCTGATGGGGGGTGTGATGCTGATGGGGGGGTGTGATGCTGATGGGGGGTGTGATGCTGATGGGGGGGTGTGATGCTGATGGGGGGGTGTGTGTGATGCTGATGGGGGGTGTGATGCTGATGGGGGGTGTGATGCTGATGGGGGGGTGTGATGCTGATGGGGGGGTGTGATGCTGATGGGGGGTGTGATGCTGATGGGGGGGTGTGATGCTGATGGGGGGTGTGATGCTGATGGGGGGTGTGATGCTGATGGGGGGGTGATGCTGATGGGGGGTGTGATGCTGATGGGGGGTGTGATGCTGATGGGGGGGTGTGATGCTGATGGGGGGGTGTGATGCTGATGGGGGGTGTGATGCTGATGGGGGGTGTGATGCTGATGGGGGGGTGTGATGCTGATGGGGGGGTGTGATGCTGATGGGGGGTGTGATGCTGATGGGGGGGTGTGATGCTGATGGGTGTGATGCTGATGGGGGGTGTGATGCTGATGGGGGGTGTGATGCTGATGGGGGGGTGTGATGCTGATGGGGGGTGTGATGCTGATGGGGGGGTGTGATGCTGATGGGGGGTGTGATGCTGATGGGGGGTGTGATGCTGATGGGGGGGGTGTGATGCTGATGGGGGGTGTGATGCTGATGGGGGGTGTGATGCTGATGGGGGGGTGTGATGCTGATGGGGGGTGTGATGCTGATGGGGGGGTGTGATGCTGATGGGGGGTGTGATGCTGATGGGGGTGTGATGCTGATGGGGGGGTGTGATGCTGATGGGGGGTGTGATGCTGATGGGGGGGTGTGATGCTGATGGGGGGTGTGATGCTGATGGGGGGTGTGATGCTGATGGGGGGTGTGATGCTGATGGGGGGGGTGTGATGTGATGCTGATGGGGGGGTGTGATGCTGATGGGGGGTGTGATGCTGATGGGGGGTGTGATGCTGATGGGGGGTGTGATGCTGGGGGGTGTGATGCTGATGGGGGGTGTGATGCTGATGGGGGGTGTGATGCTGATGGGGGTGTGATGCTGATGGGGGGGTGTGATGCTGATGGGGGGTGTGATGCTGATGGGGGGTGTGATGCTGATGGGGGGTGTGATGCTGATGGGGGGTGTGATGCTGATGGGGGGGTGTGATGCTGATGGGGGGGTGTGATGCTGATGGGGGGTGTGATGCTGATGGGGGGTGTGATGCTGATGGGGGGTGTGATGCTGATGGGGGGTGTGATGCTGATGGGGGTGTGATGCTGATGGGGGGTGTGATGCTGATGGGGGGTGTGATGCTGATGGGGGGTGTGATGCTGATGGGGGGTGTGATGCTGATGGGGGGGTGTGATGCTGATGGGGGGTGTGATGCTGATGGGGGGGTGTGATGCTGATGGGGGGTGTGATGCTGATGGGGGGTGTGATGCTGATGGGGGGTGTGATGCTGATGGGGGGTGTGATGCTGATGGGGGGTGTGATGCTGATGGGGGGTGTGATGCTGATGGGGGGTGTGATGCTGATGGGGGGGTGTGATGCTGATGGGGGGTGTGATGCTGTTGGGGGGGTGTGATGCTGATGGGGGGTGTGATGCTGATGGGGGGTGTGATGCTGATGGGGGGTGTGATGCTGATGGGGGGGTGTGATGCTGATGGGGGGTGTGATGCTGATGGGGGGGTGTGATGCTGATGGGGGGGTGTGATGCTGATGGGGGGGTGTGATGCTGATGGGGGGGTGTGATGCTGATGGGGGGTTGTGATGCTGATGGGGGGGTGTGATGCTGATGGGGGGGAGTGATGCTGATGGGGGGGAGTGATGCTGATGGGGGGAGTGATGCTGATGGGGGGGTGTGATGCTGATGGGGGCAAGTCATGAACCATCACCAGGAAACGGTTGTGTTCTTATGTTGCGTGTGCTGCTGAAATGCCATTGAAATGTGGGTGCATGGTCTTCCTTTCCTTTTGGAAATCGTTACCCCCCCCCTCGCCGTCCCAATCCCGCCTCAGTGCTGCTGCAAACTGTGGCTTAGCAACCCCCCCCCTCTAAACTCCCTCTCAAGCCTCCCAAAACACCGTCTCACCCTGCTGTGCGGCAGTGCAAGGCATGCAGCTGGTGGGCGAGCTGGACCGGGAGCTGCGGGTGGTGTCCGTCATCTGCCGGGTATGTTCTGATGGCATGATGGCATGCTGGCATGTCGTGGCATGGTGTGGCATGATGGCATGTTGTGGCATGCGATGGGGCGAGATAGATGGGTTATGACGCGCTGGGATGCATTGGAATGGCATGGCAGAAGTCTGTGCATTGAAGCATACGGTGGAAGGAAAATGGTTGTACATGTTACTCCTCCCCCGCCACCCCCGCCTCTTCTCTCACCCAACCCCCTCCCCCTCCCCTCACCACGCCCACTCCCCCTCCTCGCTCATCGCCTCCCCATCCCTGTCCTCTCCTCCTGCCCGTCCATCCCCTCCCCTTGCCTACGTGCCTGCAGAACGGGCAGCGGCATCTGAACAGGGCGACGGAGGAGGTGGCCAGCGACCTCGTGGTGGCTGCAGCATGCCCCGTGCCTGTTGAGACGGCTCAACCACCCACACACCTCCCCTTCCCTCCCACCCACCTCCCCCCCCCTCGCCTGTCTGTGTGCAGAATGCGCGGCGGCATCTAAACAAGGCCATGGCGGAGGTGGCCAGCGACCTCGTAGTGGCTGCCAGTGTCAACAAGAAGAAGATGCTCACGGTGAGTCCATGGCCCCATGTGATGCTCACTGTGAGGCGACCCGAGGATGTGATGCTCACTGTGAGGCGACCCGAGGATGTGATGCTCACTGTGAGGCGACCCGAGGATGTGATGCTCACTGTGAGGCCACCCGAGGATGTGATGCTCACTGTGAGTCCACCCTGTTGCTCACTGCAAGTGATTTCCTGTCCCTTCTCATGATTAGTGTGATATGTTTCCTTTGAGTTCACTCAAGAGATGCTCACCATTGCTCACCATTATCCAACCCTACTCCCCGTTCTCATGCCAGCCCACAGAGCATGCTGCCGGTGCTGATGCGCATGCAGCAGGTGGTGGAGGTGCCTCAAAGGACTCGGCGCTCATATGCATGACTCCCTATCCCCCCTCCATGGCCCCCACAGAGCATGCTGCCTGTGCTCATGCGCATGCAGCAGGTGGTGGAGGTGCGGGGGCGCATGGATGCGTGCATAGACGAGGGCGACTTCGCCCGTGCTCTGCGCCTGTGCTCGCACTGCCTGGTGCTCATCGAGCAGAATGCGCAGCTGGCTGCCATTCGGGACATGAACATCAGCATAGAGGTAAAGTGGGTGTGTCGGTGGGGCAGGGCAGAGGAGGTTGGGGGGAAGGCACATGCAGGCCAGGGCTATTGCCGGTGCCCTGCGCATGCGTGTCCACGCAGGATGAGCACGAGGGAGGGAGAGGGAGAATGCGAAAAGCACCACAGATGTTCGCTTTCGCTTTTACTCGCACTGCCTTGTGCTCATCGAGCAGAACGCGCAACTGGCCGCCATACGGGGCGTGAACAGCAGCATAGAGGTAAAGTGGGTGTGTTGGCTTGGCTTGGCTTGGCTTGGCGGTGCACCGGGGGAAAGGTAGCGCATTGGGATGCTCTTCTCTTCACATTCTGCAACTCCTGTTTTCTCCTCTCCTCTCCACGCACCCATACTTTCCTCCATTCCTTGTGCCTCTCTGCCCTGCTCTCTGTCCCCCACACCAGGAGTGGCTGACCCAAGTGGTCCACCGCGTGGATGCAATGCACTCCTCTACACTGCCTGCAAAGCAAGTTCTTCTGTTCCTTTCGCCCCTGTGCCCCACTGGTGCTCGCCACCCGCCCCTCCCCTCCCCCCCCCACACGCCCCCCCACCAGGAGTGGCTGACCCTGGTTGTGGACCACGTGGATGCGCTCCTCTTCACTGTCTGCAAGTCCCGTGACCCACAACCGTGCTTGCCTCTATTCTTCCTTGTGCCTCTGTGCCCTGCTCTCTGCGCCCCCCCCCCCCACACGCCCCCACCAGGAGTGGCTGACCCGAGTTGTGGACCACGTGGATGCGCTGCTCTTCACTGTCTGCAAGTCCTTCGACTCGCCCTCCTACGCCGTCGTGAGACGATCCATCCAGCCCTGAACGATCCATCCAGCCCTGAACGATCCATCCAGCCCTGAACGATCCATCCAGCCCTGAACGATCCATCCAGCCCTGAACGATCCATCCAGCCCTGAACGATCCATCCAGCCCTGAACGATCCATCCAGCCCTGAACGATCCATCCAGCCCTGAACGATCCATCCAGCCCTGAACGATCCTCATCTTTCCCACGACAAAACTTGCAGTCGTCAAATGTTCAATGGTGCATATCATTGTTTGCTCTCTCCAACCCCTCTTGGCTGTATCCTTTCTTCCTGCAACCGCCCGCCTGCAAGGCATACTCATACTCCCCTTATGCTGCCCTAAAGCTTCCGCCTTTGCTGCTGTTACCTATCTGTCGTCCCATTTCTCCCTGCATTACCCTACTCTCTCTCAACAGCTCTCTTGCCCTTCGCGCCATCCTTCGGGTATTGAAGCCTGTGCAGTGATGGGCGCCTTATGAGATGCCTCGGTATCTTGTGCCCCCTTTGCCTATCACCCCCAGGTGATCGACGCATATGCAGTGATGGACGATGCCTCCACGCTGGAAGACGAGGTGTAGAACTTCTGCCTTCAATCCGTGGTCACGTGCACCGTGTATCCCATGCCCCCATTGCTTCTTCTCCCCCCTCACCGCGCCTCAGGTGATCGACGCGTATGCAGTGATGGACGATGCAGCCACGCTGGCCGACAAGGTGCAAAACTTTTTCGCCCAGTCAGTCGTCACCTGCACGTACGACACTCTCCTGCAGTTCCTGGAGCAGGTGAGTCACCCGCTCCCCCCTCGCCTCCTGTCTCCTCAACGCCTTCTGCACACTGTCACACGAACCAGTCGGTCGTCACCTGCACCTACGACACGCTCCTGCAGTTCCTCGAGCAGGTTAATCGCTGTACGTGCCGTTTCGAGAATAAGTGACGTCTCTGGCGGGCTTCATCCGGCTCAGCATGTCTTTTGAGTCGACTCAAAAGGCATCTCTGGCGGGCTTCATCCGTCCCAGCATGTCTCACCCAGTCGGCCGTCACCTGCACCTACGACACTCGCCTGCAGTTCCTGGAGCAGGTAGGGGGCCGTCTATTCCTCCTTCCGGGCAAGGATGCGTGGCATCGCTGCCAGTATCCGGCCCAGCGGATCGCAATGCCCAGTCTGTGGTCGCCTGCATTGACACCACGCTGCTTCGTTTCTGGAGCAGGTGATTCTTCAGATGTGCCTCTTGGTGTCCAATTGTGCCCTCAGAGCCTGCCTTCGAGCTGAGTTGGTTGTCGAGAAATCTCAGCAACCAACTCAAGTCTCAAGATGCGTCTCTTGGTGTCCTCACAGGTTGCCTTGGCCGCACCCTGAAGTGTAACTGTGCACCCTGTTGTGATCTCTACTACCACCCACCCACCCGCCCACCCACCCGTGTGCTCCCAACTGTGTGCCCTCTCGTCTTGCTTGTTTGACAGGCGATGGGGGAGGATGATGGGCACAGAAGCAGGTGAGAGCACATGTTGGGTGCTTATCTGTATATCTCATGGGCGCTTGGGGCAGTGTAAGCGCACCGCTTGCCTTTAAGGACTGCTGAAAGTATGAGAGATGCGTTCTTTACTCTTTTTTTGCGCACTTCCTTGTTATGTGCTTCTCTTTCCCCCCTCTCCTGGAAAAGCAGCATCTGTAGGTCATTTTTGAGACGACTAAAAAATCATCTCGGTCTCCGCTTCTCCCTGCCGCCCATCTGCTGCCACCCTCACAGGCTGGCGTACAGCGAGTTGTGTGTCGAGCTGCCGGACGGCGTGTTTCGGCTGTGCCTGCTGCGCACTCTGCGCGTGCTCTTTGACCTCTTCGCATCGCACCACCACATGATGACGTGGCGACACCCTTACGTCAGAGTACGACCATCCTCTGCACATGCTCCATCCATCCCTAACCTTCCCTGGCTGTGCATGCTCCATCCCTCTCCTACCATGTGTGCTGCCCTGGGTTGTGCCCTACCCTGCGTGCTGCCCTTCCCTGTGTGCTGCCCTACCCTGCGTGCTGCCCTTCCCTGTGTGCTGCCCTACCCTGTGTGCTGCCCTACCCTGTGTGCTGCCCTACCCTGTGTGCTGCCCTACCCTGTGTGCTGCCCTACCCTGTGTGCTGCCCTTCCCTGTGTGCTGCCCTACCCTGTATGCTGCCCTACCCTGTGCGCACTGTGTGTCAATCAACTAACCTTCCTACCTGCACTCCCCCACATGGCATCGCTTGATCCGCACAGTCCCTCCCTCCATTACCCCTTTCTTTCTTCCCTTCCCCCCCTCTCACACCTCAGCGCCCAAACTCAATGCCGATGGACCGCTTTCCACACATGGCAGCGCCTGACCTCCTGTGTCCTCCCTCCAATCCCACCCCCCCCCCCGCTCCGCTCCCAGTGCCCCAACACGATGTCCATGGATCGCTTCCCCTGCATGGCAGCACCTGACCTCCGCTCTCCTCCCCTATCCCCCTTCTTCCCCACTTCCCCCCCCACCCCGCCCCCCCCCAGCGCCCCAACACAATGTCCATGGACCGCTTCCCCCGCATGGCAGCGCCTGATCCTGTGTGTGCGTCCGCCTCTACCTCCGCCTCCGACCTCCCCCACCTCGCCCATCCCCCTGCATTCCCCCCCGCTTTTTCCTTCCAGTCTCCCACCCTCCCCCCACCCCCAGCACCTCAACACGATGTCCATGGACTGCTTTCCCCACATGGCAGCGCCTGACATCATCTATCCTCCCTCTATCCCTCTTTTCCCCCTCTCCCCCCCCCCCCCACACCAGCGCCCCAACACGATGTCCATGGATCGCTTCCCCCGCATGGCAGCGCCTGACCCCGTGTGTGCGTCCGCCCCTGTGTCCGCCTCTACCTCCGCCTCTGACCTTCCCCACCTCGCTGACCTCCCTGCACCACCCAAGGGCCTGCCCCGCTCCTCCTCCGGTTCTGCTTCCGCTGGTAGTGCTGCTGCTGGTGCTGCTGCTGGTCCTGGTGAAGCAAAGGGAACCCCAGCTCCTGAAGGCGTTATAGGTGCTGACGGCACTGCAGCGGGTGAGGGCACTGCGCCCAGTGAGTCACGGGAGGGTACAGCTGTGAGGCGGAGGAAGAACAGCCTGGTGATTGAGATACCCACAGGTGGGCTCCTGCAGGGGCAGACTGAGGGGGGGAAACCTGAGAGAGACAACGGGGCTGGACCGGGGAAGGGGCAAGGCGGGAGTGGGGGTGTTGCCGGGTCAGATGCACAGACGCAGCAGCAGAGGGGCCACGAGCAGTTGCAGCAGCAGAGGAGACAGGTGAGGCGGTCGTCCAGTGAGGGGCACAATGAGGTTTGGAGCGACAGTGCCGAGTCACTGGTGAAGGAAGGCCGCCCGCCCATCCCAGCGTCAGGCTCAACTGGGGCAGGCTCTTCCGGGGCATCAGTAGCCGCAGGTGGTATAGCAGCAGCAGCTGTAGCAGCAGCAATAGCAGCAGGCGGCGGGGATGGCGGTAGAAGCAATGGTTTGGCTCTAGACGAGGGGAGGAGCAGGGGCCGGGGGGGTGGAGCAGACATGGCACTGCGGACGGACGATGTGATGATGATGGGGAGCGACTTCAGGGAGGGCTCCCTGGCGGATCTGCCCCCCAACGTTGCGCGCAAGATGCGAGTGAGCGCGACAGCAGCGGTGTGCCGTGCGCTGCAGAAGAACAGGAAGGCTGTCTGGGAGCTGGCGGCACGGAGGGTGGGCGCGCTCCTCACTGCGCCTGCGCTCTGCTCGGGATCTTCGCAGCAGTTCCTCCAGGTACGTGTGGGTGTATTTCCTGGGGGCTTTGTTTTGATTGGCATGGTGCAACGGTTTTCATGCACAGCAGGCGAGCCGTGCACAAGGAGTAAAAGCGGCTCAAAGGTTCTCGCATTCACCATGTTCTCCCATTCAACCTGCAGTGCCTGGAGTGGGTGGACAAGTTTGCAGCAGTGGGCGAGGCGTTCACAGGGGTGGAAGCGGCTGGGCTGAGAGCCAAGATGGTGAAGCAGAGCGAGGTGTACTTCAACACCTTCCACCGCCAGAACCTCAAGGTGCGTCCCCTACAGGGTTCCACTGCCAACACCTCGAGATTAATGCTTCTCGACCCTTTGAGTCCGCTCAAAAGCAAGTGAGGCGTTCACAGCGGTGGAAGCGGCTGGGCTGAGAGCCAAGATGGTGAAGCAGAGCGAGGTGTACCTCAATACGTTCCACCGACAGAACCTCAAGGTAAGACCATCAGGTGGTGGTAGAGGTGGTCAAGGTGACAGGTGAACGAGTCATGCCACTTTCCAGGAATCATCAGATGACCTACCGCATTTCGATGGTATTACCAGATGAAAACGAGCCTGCTTGCATTGTCTCACCCACCAGGTGCTGAAGATGATTCTGGAGCGAGAGACATGGCAGCGCCTGCCCCCAGAGACCATCCACACCCTCAGACTCATCAGCCTCACCACCCACCCCGCCCCCTCCTCCTCCTCCTCCTCCTCCTCCTCCGCCTCCTCCTCCTCCTTTGTTCTCTCCACTCAGTCCTCCTCCTCCTCAGTAGGGGGTAGGGAGAGTGGGGGAGTGGAGGGAGTGAGTTCGGGCGGCGAGGGGGCAAAAGAGAGGAGGGATTTCCGGGAGTGGGTGGAGAGAGAGAACCCTTTTGCTGCTGTGGAAGCAGGAGAGGAGGAGGCGGCAGAGGGGAAGGAGGGAGGGGAGAGGGCAGAGGGGGGTCAAGGGAGCAACATGAGCGGCGGGAGTGGGGACAGGGAAGGGGGTGCTGCCTCTGGTGACGTTGCAGCATCAGCAGCAGCAGGGGCAGGAGCACGGGGAGGATCAGAGGAGAGCAGCAGAGGGCAAGGGGGGAACCCCCAAGGGCGGATTCTCCCAGGGGGGAGAGCAGCCTCAGACAGGGGCTATGACAGAGGGAGGGAGCAGGGAGCCAGGGGAAGAGCGAGTGGCAGGTTCAGTGCGGTTGGTGGTGGTGATGATGGGGAGGAGGAGGAGAGTGAGGAACTGCTGGCGGATTTCATAGATGAGGAAGGGGTGGGGGTGTCGGCAGCAGTGCTGGCAGGCAGGGGCAGGAGGAGGTCAGAATCAGGCGTGGGGGACGTGGGAGGGGGAGGAGGGGCAGGGGGGCTGGATACAGGGCTGGCACTCACTGGCGCTGCTCTCACTGTTATCAGGTGTGTGTTTGGGCATGGCTCTCTGTTGTCATCAGGTGTGTGTTTGGGCATGGCTCTCTGTTGCCATCAGGTGTGTGTTTGGGCATGGCTCTCTGTTGCCATCAGGTGTGTGTTTGGGCATGGCTCTCTGTTGCCATCAGGTGTGTGTTTGGGCATGGCTCTCTGTTGCCATCAAGTGTGTGTTTGGGCATGGCTCTCTGTTGTCATCAGGTGCGTGTTTGGGCATGGCTCTCTGTTGTCATCAGGTGCGTGTTTGGGCATGGATCTCTGTTGTCATCAGGTGCGTGTTTGGGCATGGCTCTCTGTTGTCATCAGGTGCGTGTTTGGGCATGGCTCTCTGTTGCCATCAGGTGTGTGTTTGGGCATGGCTCTCTGTTGCCATCAGGTGTGTGTTTGGGCATGGCTCTCTGTTGCCATCAAGTGTGTGTTTGGGCATGGCTCTCTGTTGTCATCAGGTGCGTGTTTGGGCATGGCTCTCTGTTGTCATCAGGTGCGTGTTTGGGCATGGATCTCTGTTGTCATCAGGTGCGTGTTTGGGCATGGCTCTCTGTTGTCATCAGGTGCGTGTTTGGGCATGGCTCTCTGTTGCCATCAGGTGTGTGTTTGGGCATGGCTCTCTGTTGCCATCAGGTGTGTGTTTGGGCATGGCTCTCTGTTGCCATCAAGTGTGTGTTTGGGCATGGCTCTCTGTTGTCATCAGGTGCGTGTTTGGGCATGGCTCTCTGTTGTCATCAGGTGCGTGTTTGGGCATGGATCTCTGTTGTCATCAGGTGCGTGTTTGGGCATGGCTCTCTGTTGTCATCAGGTGCGTGTTTGGGCATGGCTCTCTGTTGCCATCAGGTGTGTGTTTGGGCATGGCTCTCTGTTGCCATCAGGTGTGTGTTTGGGCATGGCTCTCTGTTGCCATCAAGTGTGTGTTTGGGCATGGCTCTCTGTTGTCATCAGGTGCGTGTTTGGGCATGGCTCTCTGTTGTCATCAGGTGCGTGTTTGGGCATGGATCTCTGTTGTCATCAGGTGCGTGTTTGGGCATGGCTCTCTGTTGTCATCAGGTGCGTGTTTGGGCATGGCTCTCTGTTGTCATCAGGTGCGTGTTTGGGCATGGCTCTCTGTTGTCATCAGGTGCGTGTTTGGGCATGGCTCTCTGTTGCCATCAGGTGTGTGTTTGGGCATGGCTCTCTGTTGCCATCAGGTGTGTGTTTGGGCATGGCTCTCTGTTGCCATCAAGTGTGTGTTTGGGCATGGCTCTCTGTTGTCATCAGGTGCGTGTTTGGGCATGGCTCTCTGTTGTCATCAGGTGCGTGTTTGGGCATGGCTCTCTGTTGACATCAGTTGTGTGTTCCTTCCTGCTGCTTTTCTTGCGCTCTCAGTTCTCTAACCTCCCCTGCACTCAACCCCCCCCAGGCTCATGGATCGGTATACTCGCCTCATGGGGTTGCTGCCACCTATTGCATCAGGGATTTTCTCCGTAAGTAACCTCATGCCTCGCTACTTGAGTCTGGGGCCTGGGCCTTGCTACTCGCTGTGTGCTTTTCGCTGCCCTGCTCGTCCTTTCTGTTCGTCTCAATTTCCTGTTTGGTCCTCCCTCTTGTGCTCTCTTCTTTGATGGCTCTTCGCCCCCCTTCCTCCCGTGCTTCCCTCCATTGCTCCATCTTTCTTCTCTAATCTCTGACGAGTAATCTTCCCCCCAGCCGCCCGACATGACTTCTTCTGAGTCGACTCAAAAGCCTTTCCGTTCGCCCCCTTTCCTCCCCGGCTTCTCTCCATAGCTCCGTCTTTCTTCTCTACTCTCTAGCGATTCACCTCTCCCCCCATCCGCCCGCATGCACGCCCACGCCCACGCACATGCACGCTCACCAGGGTTTGTGCCAGCTGTTCGACCTCTGCCTCGTGACCGTCTTCTGGCTCTTTGACTTCGTCTCACGCTCCCTGTTTTTCCTCGCCGTTTTACTCCCTTGTGCACATGCATACACCCCTATGTGCACATGCATTCACCCCTATGTGCACATGCATACACCCCTATGTGCACATGCATACACCCCTATGTGCACATGCATACACCCCTATGTGCACATGCATACACCCCTATGTGCACATGCATACACCCCTATGTGCACATGCATACACCCCTATGTGCACATGCATACACCCCTATGTGCACATGCATACACCCCTATGTGCACATGCATACACCCCTATGTGCACATGCATACACCCCTATGTGCACATGCATACACCCCTATGTGCACATGCATACACCCCTATGTGCACACACCAGGGTTTGTGCCAGCTGTTCGACCTGTACCTCGTGACTGTCTTCCGGCTCTTTGGCAGCCCTGATGCCGTGAACACGCTGCGATCGACCGACCCCGCTGCTGCTACCTGTGAGTATTTTTCAGCCGGCTACTGACCCTTATGCTGCCAATTTTATGTTCCCACGGCTTCTTGAGCCCTGATGCCATGAACACACTGCGATCAACCGACCCAGCCGCTGCCAGCTGTAAATGCTCTTCAGGCATCTCAGACAGACCATATGTTCACATGGCTATTCGGCTGCCTGCGTCGATGCCGCAAACACTCCGGGACCAATTCAACCAACCCGGCTGCGGCCACCTGCCACCTGCCAGCCACCTGCTGCCACCTTTCTCGTCCCTCCGAACCCCCCTCTCCAAGAATATAATTCTTCAGTCTCCTCCACTCCTGACCCCCAAGCTGCACAGCGCACTCACCTTTCCCTTGCCTGCACACTCTCTCTCCAACCCCCCCTTGAACCCCACCCGCCCACTCCCCCACCCCAGTGCTGACCCCCAAGCTGCGCACCACGCTGGCACGTGTCGCTCAGGGATTGGACGACGCGCGCAACCGGCCCATCTCGTCCCTGTCCCCCAGCGGCACGCCCCCCCCTGCAGCAGCAGCAGCAGCGCTGGGGGAAGCAGCAGCTGCTGCTGCTGCCGCTGCAGCAGCCGCAGTGGAGGCAGTAGGGGGCGTGATTGGGGCTGCAGGCAGCAGCGGAAGCTTGGCTGGTGGGAGTTCGTCGAACAACCTGTTGGTTTCCTCTTCGAATATGTTTGGACTTAAAGTGAGTGTCTGCGTGGGTGCGGGTGTGGTGTGGGTGTGGTGTGGGTGTGGGTGTGGGTGTGGGTGTGGGTGTGGGTGTGGGTGTGGGTGTGGATGTGGGTGTGGGTGTTGTTGCAGGTGTGCGGGTTGCGTGCACATGTTCACGCGCGGGTGCAGGTGTGTGGGTGTGGGTGTGTGGGTGTGGACGTTGGTGCGGGTGTATGTGTGTGTGGGGGGGGCGTGTGTGTATGTGTGTGTGGGTGTTTGTGTGGGTGTGGGTGGGTGGGTGTGTGAATGTGGGTGTGAGTGTGGGTGTGGGTGTGAGTGTGGGTGTGAGTGTGAGTGTGTGTGTGGGTGTGGGTGTGTGTGTGTGTGTGAGTGTGTGTGTGAGTGTGTGTGTGAGTGTGTGTGTGAGTGTGTGGGTGAGTGTGTGGGTGAGTGTGTGTGAGTGTGGGTGTGAGTGTGGGTGTGAGTGTGGGTGTGAGTGTGGGTGTGAGTGTGTGGGTGAGTGTGTGTGTGAGTGTGGGTGTGAGTGTGTGTGTGAGTGTGGGTGTGAGTGTGGGTGTGAGTGTGGGTGTGAGTGTGGGTGTGAGTGTGTGTGTGTGAGTGTGGGTGTGAGTGTGGGTGAGTGTGTGGCGATGGAGTCACTCATCTGCCTGACTGACATGCTGCGGCGACAGACCAATCCTCTACGAATCCCAATCTTTATTATCTCGTACTCACTCTATTCCTCCCCCCCCCCTCCCCCCTCCCCGCCCCCCTGCAGGAGCGCTGTGTGGCCATGGAGTCGCCCATGTGGCTCACGGGCAATGCTGCGGCAGACGAAGCCTCAACTGCGGTAGACCAATGCTGCTCCAATGCACTCCTCCCCTTTTCTCTGCCTACCTGCCTTCTGCGCTGCCCTCCAATGTCATCCCAGGAGCGCTGTGTGGCCATGGAGTCACTGATGTGGCTCACCGACATGCTGCGGCAGACCAAGCCGCGCTTCCAGTCGCTGCTCTCCCCGCCCGCCTGGACCAGCATGGACGTCTTCTATGCCCGCACTGTGAGTGGCTGTCTGCCCGGCTGTTGTTTTGTCGGACCGTCCGTCTTTCTCTGTGCATGCTGCGACGTGAGTATGGCGTGCCTGCCTGGACCAGCATGGACGTATTCCACGCCCGTACGGTGAGTGGGTGTCTGCCAGTCTGTTGTTTTGTTGATCCGTCCATCTTTCTGTGTGCTTGCTGCGACGCGAGTCTGGCATGCCTGCCCGGACCAGCATGGACTCTTCTATGCCCGCACGGTGAGCGGGTGTCTACTGTCGTGGATCCATTTTCTCGACCTCAACATTGTTCGGACAGATGCCGCCATTGTTTAGGCGCCTAAAGAATTGGACTCCTCAACATTGAATTGAACTGAACGGACAGATGCTGCCATTTGTCTGACACCGTGAAGGATGCCGCTTCCTCAGCTGCACGATTTGAAGCCACCTTCCCCTCCTTCCCCTCCTTCCCCTCCTTCCCCTCCTTCCCCTCCTTCCCCTCCTTCCCCTCCTTCCCCTCCTTCCCCTCCTCCCCCTCCTACCCTCTCCTCCTCGCTTGTCAGCTGGACGCAGTGCCTGACCTCTGGGAGCACGTGCTGCGCACGCTGGTGAAGCTGCTGCTCAGCATTGCCGGCACGGCTGACCGCATTGCTGCTGTGAACTGGGAGCCAGAGGATATAGGCACGCAGCACAACATGTGAGATGGGCACGCGGCACAGCATGTGAGATGGGCACGCAGCACAGCATGTGAGATGGGCACGCAGCACAGCATGTGAGATGCGCACGCAGCACAGCATGTGAGATGGGCACGCAGCACAGCATGTGAGATGGGCACGCAGCACAGCATGTGAGATGCGCACGCAGCACAGCATGTGAGATGGGCACGTAGTGCAACATATGAGATTCCCGGGGATTTACTTGAGTACCTCATAACGGTTATTTTGAGCTGTTCCTGCGTGGTTCCTCCCTCCATATGCCTCGTCTCATTCATGTGCACCCGTACGTAATGCATGGGCGTTCCATCATCTTGTAGGTGATTTTTTAGAACTCTAAAACATCGCGTAATGCATGGGCGCTCCATCATCGCCACCGAAGCTTGTCCCCACCTGTCCCGCCCAATCAGATATGTGGAGAATCTGGTTGCTGAGTTCCGCCTCTTTGCTCATCGCCTGGGGCAGTCTGGCGCGCCCAGACAGGTCAGACACCCACACACTTATTCACTCTCTTCATTCCCACTCCTCACTCACTCTCCTCACTAACACTCTTCACTCACTCTCCTCACTCACTTGCCTTCGGAGGTGAAGCACCCCACGCACTCACTCACTCAAACCTTCAGCAGCTCTCACACCCGCACACGCTCCTCTCAACAGACCAGCCACCCTTCGCACTTACACACCCTCCGCAGCAGGCCAGGCGCCCAATACGTGTTCTACTTGTACATACATGCATGCCGTATGTATCCGAGTGCTGTGTGGATGTCCAATCTCATCCATGCATGCGTGCATGCGAGCAGGTGCAGGACCACCTGGTGATATATGGCTTGGACGAGTTCTGCTATGGGCTGCTGGAGGGTCTCTGCCGGGTCAAGGCCAACCTTCACTCACGTGTCTGCATGCATGCCCATATCACCCACGCATCACACCACCAGGTGCAGGACCAGCTGGTGGCATATGGCTTGGACGAGCTCTGTGACGTGCTGCTCGAGGGTATCTGTCGGGTCAAGAAGTGCAACAGCAATGGCCGCGCCCTCATGTCACTGGACCTCCAGGTGACTTCCTCGTGTTCTTTGACACTTCAGGTGACTTCCTTGTGTTCTTTGACACTTCAGGTGACTTCCTCGTGTTCTTTGACACTTCAGGTGACTTCCTCGTGTTCTTTGACACTTCAGGTGACTTCCTCGTGTTCTTTGACACTTCAGGTGACTTCCTCGTGTTCTTTGACACTTCAGGTGACTTCCTCGTGTTCTTTGACACTTCAGGTGACTTCCTCGTGTTCTTTGACACTTCAGGTGACTTCCTCGTGTTCTTTGACACTTCAGGTGACTTCCTCGTGTTCTTTGAAACGTCAGGTGACTTTTCATGTCGCTTGACAATTTTCACGTGGCTTAGGTGACTTTCAGGTGACCTTTTGTGTGTTCTTCACCGGAAGGTGACCCCTGTAGCCCATCCCTTCACCTTCTCTCGTATGCTTCAGCTTCAAGTATGTGTGAACATCCGTTTTTTTTCTTCTTCTTCTTTCTTTCTTTCTATCTTTTCCTTTTTTCGTTCTTTCTTTCTTTCTCTCGCCTTCGCTTCACTCTCACCCCTCATGGTTCATCCCACTCGCATCCCACACCCTGCTCCGACCCTCCCTGCATGGACCTTTTTTTGGCCCCGTCCGCATATGCCATCCTCCCCCCATGTTCCCCATCCCGCCCCCATGCTGCCCATCCCGCCCCCATGTTCCCCATCCCGCCTCCATGCTCCCCATCCCGCCCCCAAGCTCCCCATCCCGCCCCCATGCTCCCCATCCCGCCCCATGTTCCCCATCCCGCCCCCATGTTCCCCATCCCGCCCCCGTGTTTCCCATCCCGCCCCCATGTTCCCCATCCCGCCCCCATGTTCCCCATCCCGCCCCCATGCTCCCCATCCTGCCCCCATGCTCCCCATCCCGCCCCCATGCTCCCCATCCTGCCCCCATGCTCCCCATCCCGCTCCCATGTTCCCCATCCCGCCCCCATGCTCCCCATCCCGCCTCCATGCTCCCCATCCCGCCCCCATGCTCCCCATCCGCGTCCTGCTAATCCGTGCTGCATCCTGCCACATGCCCCCTGCTGTGCGTGTTTCCCTGTCCCTCAGGTGCTGGTGCAGGGGCTGCAGCCCATAGTGGGGCGAGGGGCAGTCAAGGGGCTGCAGCTGGTAGACAACTACATCAAGGTATGTGGCCGTCTCTCCTCTTGCTGCTCCCTGCTTTCTGCTCCCTGCTTGCCGTTCTCCGCTTGCTGCTCCCTGCTTGCTGCGTGTTATGCGGGTGTTGCATTGAGGTGGGTGACAACCACACTAAGATCCGTTTTTTGCCAGAATGGACAAGGTGCCTCCCCACGAAGGAAAGAACGCGTTTCTTTCTTTCGTCTTGATCGATTGAGGCCAAGTGTGCATTGTGTGATTTGTTGTGCGTGCAGGCTTTCTACTTGAGTGAGACGCAGATTATTGACTGGGTCCGAGCACACCCAGTGAGTGCATGTAGTTGTTGTGATAAAATCGTCAAATTCTTACAGTTGTCCCTTGTTTCCGTGCATCCTTTATTTCTGAGTCACGACGCTCGTTCTTGATTGGTCGTGCACAATCTCTGAGGTTCTCTTCTGTTCCGTGCCTTGCATGAATCCACAGGAGTACACCAAGACTCAGGTGCTGGCCCTCGTGGTGGTGGCTGCTAATGGTGGCAATTGGAAACTCAAGGACAAGTTTGAGATTATTAAGAAAATTGATGCTGGAGATCTTTAAGTTTTGTCCAGGGTAGCACCCTAAGTGGTGAAACTCGCTCCATGTCTTATGGTAGGTAGATAATTCTTGTACCACTGAGCATGTTGTGCAGCCCTGAAGAAAGCATGCGTAGATATTTGGCCCAAAATTACATCGAAGTAGGTATTGCAGCTAGTTGATTTGTGCTCCAAACAAGTGATAGTTGTAGGTTCTGTATTACGTTATCAGTTCTGTACATCAGGACCTACTACTATCAGCGAATGGATGTTATTGCATAGAAATCACCTTTCGGAACCTCAAGCAGTCGAGATGCGATGCGATCGGAGGCGATTGCGTTGCGTTGCGTTTCGTTCACGTTCACGCATCTACCAGACTGACCCCCCGTGCACACACCGCCGCCGAACACTGAGGCACGTGCGCTGCGGCATTTCCTCCAGCCAGCCCCAGACCAATCAGCACGAGGGAGGTACACCCAGCCTGCGGTATTTTTACACCCATTATTTTCAGAGGGGGTGCCACCGAGAGGGTATTCACCCCCCAAAAGCAGCTCCTGAAAACCAGATCTGGATGCCCTTGAAAAACAATTTGAACTTGGGTTTCTGTACGAAACGTTTACTGCTCAATATAGTGTTTCTCGAGTCAGGAAACCCAACGTCAGCTTAGGTAGTGCTCAAAGTTTTCCCCCGCGTGGAGTCTTCCAAGCTTAGGCCGTAGGGACAAGGGGGTACTGTCTACGCACTCAGAAATGATCAGGGTGGAAACAAAAATTACTCTACCGCCCAGTTTCAAGGTGTAGAATTACCACGGGCTAAGTGTACTGTATGGACACTAGGCGGCAGCCGTTCGGGCAGGGCAGGCCATTCCTTTTTCATCCCTGGCGTCGCCTGACCCGAAACGCACATCTGTCCATTTCCCCGAATCCAACCTCAAGAATGCTTAATACTTAGAAAGATGAAATGCGTTATTTTACGGTAAATAGAATTCCACCGTGGTCAGATGCGGTCCGAACTTGAGAGGGTTTCTGGGTGCGCGTTCTTTGTTCCCTCCCTGCCCTCGCCCTCGTCGTTTTTGGTGGGTTGCCCTACGTCGATCTTACTCAATCAAGACCATAGCTCGTTGAAGCTCTTGCATCTCTGCTGCAACACCCACCCATCCACAAAAAGAGCTTTCGTGTGGACACTATTGCACTAACTCGTGAGGGTGGTTGTGTGTTCATCGTCCACCTTTGTCTAAGTCGACCTGAACTCCGGTCCCGTCCCACGCGTAGTACCTTCGCCTTCTTACAGCTTGCTATTGTTCTTCTACATGGACCTGAACTTAGACCCACCGCCTGAAGATGTAAACCTTCCGAGTCCCGAGCCGGGAGCAACAACGTGGCGTGCTACTGCAAGGGATAGTACAGCGTCTTCTTCGCGAGTCGGAGAACTCCATGATTCCGAAACCGCTGCATTTCGTGACCGGGTTACCAACAACGGCGATGCGCCATCGTCGCATTATCATCATGGCGACGATGACGAGGAAGAACGGGTCGCGCAGCGAAAGCATATTGAATACGTGGTCTCTCCCTCATTGTACCGCCGAGATGACGCACGCTCAGTCCCAGGCAGATCTCCGCCGTTCGATCAGGGGAGGCATGCCGACACCGTCAGAACCGCTCGACTCTTCTCTGAAAAAGACTCCGCGGGTTTGGACGACGCCCGGGCGCGCGCGGGCGAGATGATGGTTTCCGCGCGAGCACGGGCGGACGATCCAAGTTGGAGCAGCGGGTTCGCCGACCGGCCGTTGCGAGTCGCAACGCCGCCGGGGACGACGCGATCGCGGTCCGGGTGCGGTTTGTTCGACGTGCTGCCGGACAACCTTTGCGCGAAGATCGCGTCGTTCGTCGTGCACGCCAAGAGCCTCGTCGCCCTCCGAAGCACGTGCTCGTACCTCCGGGTGAGCTGTCGTACCTCAGGGTGAGTACCTACGCCGGGAGTACCTCCGGGTGAGCTACCGTACATCCGGGTGAGCTATAGTCGCATTTCATTTCCGCCCACCTTTCTCCGCCTCTTCCGCCAACCTCCTTTCCCCCCTTCTCCCCCCCCCCCCCCCCTCCCCCTTTCCCAGAGTGTGCTCGCCTCCGGAACGGGAGATTGTGGGTTCGAGTCCCACCGTGATCGGCCTCATTTCCTCTCGTTTTCTCACCCTATGTGTACCAGTACATGGAACCATCTCCACAACCGTGCACGTGGGTGGGGCGCTGGTCTTCCTGGCGGAGGACTTCCCCCATCCCCTGCTTTCTGCGCCCATTGCTTCCCCACTTTCCCACCTTCTCTTCCCCCCTTCCCCCAGCGTGTGGTGTGTGTGGGCGGGGCGTTGGCGCTTCTGACGGAGGGCTTTCCCCACCCCCTGCTTTCTGCGCCCTTCGTTTCAGATTTTGTAGAAATTTAAAACACCCCTCTCCGCGGTTCCTCCCCCCCCCTCTCCCTCCTCCCCCACCCCCTCTTTCTTCCCTGCAGCGCGTGGTGCATGTGGGCGGGGCGCTAGTCTTCCTGGCGGAGGACTTCCCCCAGCGCGAGGCGGCGGAGAGGGGGATCACGCAGGCGCTGCTGCAGGCGTCCGCCGCCGTCACCTCGCTCTATGTCGAAGCGCCGCCCGCCTCCGACCCCTTCCAGGTGCGTTGTAAGGTCAGAGAGAGAGCTCTACGACGAGGCAGTGGCCTCGTCACAGCTGCCCCCAGCCCCACGACACGCAGCTGACGCCAAAGGCAGGCTCGCCAGGGTGGAAACCCTGGTGAAACGGGGTAACCTACGCAATGCACTCCAGGCGCTGGAGTCCACCCCCGTTTGCGAACCGACGACTGAAACGCTCGCTGCACTCAGGGCGAAACACCCCCGAGCGGAATGCGCCCTACCCGCATGGGCCCTACGCAAACAGCCCCCCACCAGAGGACCCATGGCGCAGACAGCAAGCCCACACCGCACATATCAGTCATGGAGCTGCGGGTGGTACTTCGACACTGCCCGAACGGAGTCAGGGCAGGTCCGTCGGGCACCACGTTCGAACATCTGAGGGAAGCAGCCCTGACCAACGCCGACATCATGAGCCACCTAACGGCGCTCACAAACACGGTGCTCGCCGGAAACATTCCCGAAGAGGCAACAACCCTCCTTACCTCCTCGCCACTCCTGGCATTCAAAAAGCCAGGAGGCGGCGTCCGCCCAATAGCAGTGGGCGAATGCCTGCTACGCGTCGTCAACAAGGCGGCGATCACGCTCACCTCCTCGGCAGCGGGAGCCTACCTCACGCCGCTGTAGTTCGGCGTGTGCGTCCCCGGCGGCACGGAGGTAGCATTCCACACCTCCCGCACACATCCAGTCGAACCCGGGCGACCTAGTAATCCAAGTCGACATGGCAAACGCGTTCAGCTCCGCGGAACGCGCAGCCATGGTGGAGGCCCCACGGAATAGCCCGCTCGCGGGGCTCCTCCCCCTCGTGCTCACCACCTACGGAAGCCCAGCGCCGCTGTTCCTGGACCACGAGTTCAGCTCCCCCCCGCTGCTCAGCGAGCGAGGAGTACGGCAGGGGGACCCCTTGGGACCACTGCTATTCGCAATCTCCCTACACCCTGCCCTCATGGCCACAGCAGAGGCCTACCCTCAAGTACTCACCCTGGCCTCTGCTGACGATGTGACCCTCATGGGGCCACCCGAAGAATGCGAGGCGGCGTTCTACCACTTTACCAACGCCATCGCAGCAGCAGGCCTGGCGTGCAACCCCGCCAAGTGCGGGGCCTGGTCCACAAGCGAGACCGCCCTCCAGCAAGCACCGGAGGGGGTACCCCTCGTGACGGGGGCTCTCCGAATCCTAGGGAGCCCGGTGGGAAACCGCGCAGGCTGCGCGGCCTTCCTTCGTGAAGCGCTAGGGAAAGCTGCCGCCACCCTCCCCCTGGTCCAGCAACTCCACCCGCAGTTGGCACTCCTCCTCCTGACCAGGTGTGTGGGGCGCAAGGCAGCCTTCCTGCTACGCTCCACACCCCCGGACCTCCTGCCCGACGCAGAATGGACAGCATGGGGACAGCGCCTGCTCGCCACCACCTTGGCATCCTGCGGCCTCCAGGAACCCAGGCAAGCGGCGGAGAAGGACCTCCTATGGCGGCAGGCAACCCTGCCAATAACGATAGGGGGACTCGGGCTCACGGACCCCCTCGCTGAAGGCAGGTACAGTTACCTCGCCTCAACAACTGCGGCAGCCAGCCTCCTCGCCTCCCTCCACCTCGCGCCTCTCTCACCCTTGGCCCTCCTCCGCCCCCTCCTCTCTCCCCCCTACTCCACGTCACACCCTCTCCACGCCCTCCTCAGCCGCCTGGAGGTCCAACTGCCTGACCCCGCAAAGCGGATCCTCAACTTGTGGCCGAGCAACGAGCCGGACAGCAAGCTCCAACACGCCCTGGCCCTCGAGGTCCAGGGCGAGCGGCATCGCCGCCTGGTGGCCGAGACAAGGGACCTCACCCTCAACCCCCTTCTTGGCCACACGCAGCGGCTCTTGTCCCTCCTTGGCCCGGGAACGGGCGATTGGCTGGCTGCCATACCATTCACACCGGACCTCAGCCTCAGCGCAGGGCACTTCGCCACCGCCCTGGCGTCTCGCATGGGACTGCAACACTCCATTCCCAGCCGATGCGATACTATCCCTGAAACCCTAAACGTTGCTCCCCCAACGATCCCCGAAAACCTTGAGACTGGAAGGTGGGATGAGACTTCCATACAGAGCCCCCCCCACTCCTTCCCCTCCCCCCCCCCTCCCTTCCTCCCCCCTCCCCCTCCCCCGCCCTCCCGCTCATCCCCACTCCAGGAGCTGGCAGTGATGGCGTGGTGCATGGCGTGCCGTGAGACCCTAGAGGAGCTGACCCTAGTGGACGGCTCAGCGGACGCACGGCTAAGGCGCCGCCAGGCCCTCGCTGCTTCCATGGATTCGGCTTCTGCCTCTGCTGCTGCCGCCCTTGCGGCTTCGGCTTCCGCCCCCTCTGTTCCTGCTGCTGCAGCAGCTGCTGCAGCTAGTAACGGTGCTGTGTATGGCAGAGCTCTTGGCCCAAGCAGTAGTGTGACTACTGCTGGCACTGCTGCTGCTGCTGCTGGAGCGGGGTCGAGTGAAAGAGGGAGCCATCATGCCTTGGACAACAGCGGGAGCATTGGTGGAGTGAGCAGCGGCAGCAATGGCAACGGCAATGGCAATGTCAATTGCAGTGGCATTGCCGCTGGTGGTAGCAGAAACGCGGCTGCTGCTCTCATTGGTAATACTGCCAGCGCTAGATTCACACCGTTTTACCCCAACGCCAGCTCCAACACCAATGCAGACGAGGAAGAGGGCGAGGAGCCGGAGGAGGAGCCGCAGGAGTGGAAGCTGGAGCACGCGTCGCGCTGCCACAAGCTGCGCCAGTTGTACCTCGAGAACGCCGTCTTTGACTGCGTGTCGTCGCTGCACTTCGCCTCACTCCGACACCTTACCCTGGCCAAGGTGGTGGTGGGCGGGGACATGCTGTGCGACCTGCTGGCCTGCTGCCCGCGCCTGGAGGAGCTCGTCCTGCTGCTGTGCTCGGGGATCGGCCCGCTGGATCTCATGCACGCACCGTGTGCCGCACTGAAACGATTCGAGGTCCGGCTGAGCAACCGGGCTGCAAGGAAGGACGCCTGCCTGGAGCTGCTGCGACTCAACGCGCCGAACCTGGAGGTATGATTTTTTATGTTTTATTCCCTGAACTTTTTCCCCTTCTACTCTCCTTTGTCTCCCCTTTTGCCCTCCCTCCCTGTCTCCCCTTTCACCCACGTTGTCTCCCCCTTAAAGCCCGTGGCTATAATAGCAATCAAGAGGGCTGTTTAATTTGCTCTTGAACTTGGCACATGACTTGATCTTTAGAGTAAACGAAACAGAATAAAAACAGTTCGTTTTGCAAAGCGGAATCTGACCGTGGCGGTTTGGCGACAGTTTTTGCACGAAACCATTCGGTGAACAGTGCAATACGCGTCGTGCGACCGAATTCGTGGTTCCGTGAACAGTGAAAATGCGAGAAGAACAGTATTTTTTTGGCGAACAGTAGCTGATTCTGGAATTGCAGACCTGGAAATCACTTGAATTCCCCAGTCAAAAAGCGCCTGTATTTCCTCGTCGCAAGCTGCTCGCCCAAACCCGTCGTAGAAACTCCGTGCGATGCACACAGTGTTTTTACGCAATTCGCATCCAGATGATCGTGTCGCAACAAACAGCAAAACGAGTTCTTTCGCCATTCCTCCAATCAGCAAGCTCGACCAGAATTTGTTTCGACGCACTTTTCCTGTTCATGCTTGAACTCAAAGCTGCCTTCCATTCTATACTTAGACGGATTTCAAAGCACCAAATTCAAGTGGTTTCCAGGTCTGCTATTTTAGCCGCGGGCTTTAACCCTCCTTGTCTCCCTTTTAACCCTTTCTGTCTCCCCTTTTGCCCCCCACGTCTCCCCGTTTACCCCCCTCATGTTCTCCCAGGACCTCGAGTTGGAGGTCGACTGGGCGCCTGAGGGCCGTCTGGAGCACGAGCTGTGGGGCGACATCCGCATCGAGTTGGGCGATCTCCGGCGCATGTCGCTGGAGCTGGCGGCCGGCTTCAAGTTCCACGCCAACCCCGGCGCGTTCAGCCGCCTCACTGTGCTCACGGTACGAGCAAGTGCCAAATTTTCCTGTTTTCCAGCGCATGTCAAGTGCGTGTTAAGTGCATGTCAAGTGCATGTCAAACGCGTGTCAAGTGCATGTCAAGTGCATGTCAAGTGTGCGTGTGAAGTGCATGTCAAGTGCGTCAAGTGCATGTCAAGTGCAAGCCAAGTGCATGCCAAGTGCATGCCAAGTGCATGCCAAGTGCATGTCAAGTGCATGTCAAGTGCATGTCAAGTGCATGTCAAGTGCGTGTCAAGTGCGTGTCAAGTGCGTGTCAAGTGCACGTCAAGTGCATGCCAAGTGCATGTCAAGTGCATGTCAAGTGCATGTCAAGTCAAGTGCATGTTGAGTGCATGTCAAGTGCATGTCAAGTGCGTGTCAAGTGCGTGTCAAGTGCATGTCAAGTGCGTGTCAAGTGCGTGTCAAGTGCATGTCAAGTGCGTGTCAAGTGCATGTCAACTGCATGTCAAGTGCATGTTGCTAGAGCTGGCTCCTGGGTTCAAGTGTCATGCCAAAACCAGAGCCAGAGGCATTAAAGCCTCCTCACTGTGCTCGCTCACAGCAGGCTCAGGCTCACAGCAGCCGGATTGAAGTGGCTCACACACACTTTTGGAATTCTCCTAAATCTCTCACGCTCATTCTTCAGAATTTCAAAAAATCTCTTATGCTTATTTTTGGAATTCACTACAATAACTCACGGTCACTGACCCTGTTGTGAGCACAGTGGCCAAAATGGCTGCTGCTCTAGCTCACTGCAAAAGTGCTCCAGTGCGTGTCACTGGCGCTGGCTGCTGCCTTCACATTCCCTGCCAATCCACCGGAAGAATGGCATTCAGCCAAATTTGTGAAAACAGGAGGCTCATGTCAGGGTAGCTCGCGCGAGGAGCAAAGTACCTTGTTGCTCGCACACAGTACCTTGCTGCTCGCACACAGTACCTTGCTGCTCGCACACAGTACCTTGCTCGCACACAGTACCTTGCTGCTCGCACACAGTAGCTTGCTGCTCGCACACAGTACCTTGCTGCTCACACACAGTACCTTGCTGCTCGCACACAGTACCTTGCTGCTCGCACACAATACCTGGCTGCTCACACACAGTACCTTGCTGCTCGCACATAGTACCTTGCTGCTCACACACAGTACCTTGCTGCGCGCACAAAGTACCTTGCTGCTCGCACACAGTACCTTGTTGCTCGCACACAGTACCTTGCTGCTCACACACAGTAGCTTGGAATGTGGAGCGCTATGCCACTAGTCTAAAACATGCCATCAAACTCCACACCTGACGAGGCCCCCCCTCCCCTCAATATGTCCTTGTATTAAGTAGGTGGCATGGTACTGGAGCTGGAGCTGGAGCACTGGTTTCTTCCATCAAACCGTCCTCCCTTCGCCCCCCCTTCCCCCTTCTCTCGCCCTGTTCCCACCAGCTTACAGGCGACGACTGGAGCTGGGGCACGGTGCGGGCCATTCTGGACCTCTGTGCTCTCTCCCTGGAGGAGCTCTCCCTCACGTGCTTCATCGACCAGCTCTCCATCCCATCCATCGACACAGCCACGGTCTTCTTCTCGTCGCTGCCCTCGCTGCGCTTTGTGCTGCTCTGCCCCTTCATCTTCTACATCATGCTCGCCACCCTGGGGGACACCACTGTCATCCGGGTGAGTGAGTGTGCGTCTGTCTGTCCATCCGTTGCCTGCTCTGCACGTGTGCGGCATCGGGGGAATGAAGATCGGAGCGCTTCCTGCTACTCGGCCCATGCATCTACCACGTCATGCTCGTCACCCTGGCCTGGGGGGCACCATACTCTCCCCATTCCATGCCACCAACATGACATGCCCTCCCCATCCCATGCCCTCCCCATCCCATGCCCTCCCCATCCCATGCCCTCCCCTTTCCATGCCATCCCCCCCTCCCTGCAGGCGCCCAGCCTTGAGGAGTTTCACGTGGAGTAGCACGACCGTGCCTTGGCGGTCATTTCCTTCCTCGCAGCTCTGCTGAGAGAGACACGGCTTTAAATGCACTCAAACGCACCCCATCCCCTCCCCCCCTCCCTCCAGGCGCCCAGCTTGGAAGAATTCCACCTGGAGTACCACGACCACGCCATGGCGGTCATTCCCTTCCTCGCAGCTTTGCTCCGAGGCAGTCCGCGCCTGCGCTGCATCCAGCCCATGTTGACGGTGCCCCAGGAGCCGGGCACCGACCTGTTGGGCGACAAGGACTTCCGCCGGGCCATCGCTCAGTTGCAGGCCGAGTTTCCGCGCGTCTCGTTCCCCTCCATCTGGCAGCTGACGTGACCGCGCTGCGCTGCGCTCACCCCTAGGCCCACTGATAGAGGCTTTTCAGGGTACCCTGCGCTGCATCCATCCACCCCAGGAGTGTGTGCATCCATCCAGCCCAAAAGTGTGATTGATTGTGTGTGCAGGCTTTCTATTTGAGTGAGACTCCAGTAATTGACTGCGTCCGAGCACACCCTGTGAGTGCCTGTCTTTGTCACCTGATCCTCCGTTCTGGTTAGGTTTCTGTGCATCCTTTATTTCTGAGTCATGGCCCTCGTTTTTTCTTGCTTGGTTGTGTGAATCCACAGGACACGAGTACACCAAGAAACAGGTGCTGGCCCTGGTGGTGGGAAGTGGAAACTCAAGGACAAGTTTGAGATTATAAAGAAGATAGACATTGGTGATATATATGTTTTTTCTTATAGATTGATTCTTCTGTAACACGGAGCATGTTATTTGCGTCCTGGTAAATATTCAGTGAGAAGGTGCTTTGTGTCATGTGCTGCAAGGTGTTATGCAAAACGAGTAAAACTTGTACTCATAAATTTCTAAACGTCGTAATTGCACTATAGCGGAGAGACGTAAAAACACCTTTTTGGATTATCTGGCGGTCGCGAGAGATGCGATGCGAGGTGGTTGCCTTAGTCACAAAGTCACCAGTCCTAACCATTGGGACAAGAAGGGATGTCATCAGGAGGGTCAGGCTCCATATACCGTAATCCCCCATATATAACACCCGCCGAAATAGTCACTCCGCGGGTGGTTTATGCGGGGGAGAGCTTATGATAGGGTGAATTTAGGAGAGCACCCGCTTTTCAGGGGTTGCATTTTACATAACACCCTCCTCGTTTTATGCAGCAAAGAACAGTATTTCGTAGTTTTTCAAGCTCGGCTCGATTGAGAAAAAAACGAACAGGATGAAAAACGCAATGTCTGTCAAACATTAGTATATCTAATGTTTGTATAGACTGTATAGGGTCACCTCCTAGAGAGTACAACCCTTAGATATGTATGCTTGTACCCAGGTACGTTAGTCATTCATTACTCTGTTCTAAGATGGTATCAGCAGTAGGTAGGTCCCGCCGCCCGCCCATGCTTCCGCCCTAGGCCCTAGCCGGCCCCGCGCCCGTCCAAGTCGACCCCGCACCCGTCCTAGCTGCGCCTGCCGCGCCTGTCCTAGCTGCCCCCCGCGCCCGTCCTCACGGCCCCCGCGCCCGTCCTAGCTGGCCCCGCGCCCGTCCTAACGGCCCCCGCGCCCGTCCTAGCTGTCCCCGCGCCCGTCCTAGTCGACCCCGCGCCCGTCCTAGCTGGCCCCGCGCCCGTCCTAGTCGACCCCGCGCCCGTCCTAGCTGGCCCTGCGCCCGTCCTAACGGCCCCCGCGCCCGTCCTAGCCGGCCCCGCACCCGTCCTAGCTGCCCCTGCGCCCGTCCTAGCTGGCTCCCGCGCCCGTCCTAGTCGGCCCCGCGCCCGTCCTACCGGCCCTCGCGACCGTCCTTACCGGCCCCGCGCCCGTCCTAGCGGCCCCCGCGCCCGTCCTACCGGCCACTGCGCCCGTCCTAGCCGGCCCCGCGCTCGTCCTAGCGCCCCCCGCGCCCGTCCTACCGGCTCCTGCGCCCGTCCTAGCCAGCCCTCGCGCTCGTCCTAGCTGGCCCCCGCGCCCGTCCTACAGACCCCCGCGCCCGTCCTAGTGGCCCCCGCGCCCGTCCTACCGGCCCCCCACGCCCGTCCTAGCTGGCCCCCGCGCCCGTCCTACAGGCCCCCGCGCTCGTCCTAACCGGCCCCGCGGCTGTCCCAGGCCCGTCCTATCCGGCCACGCGCCCGTCCCAGGCCCGTCCTCGCCGGCCCGGCGCCCGCCGCTACTGGCCCCCCGCGCCCGTTCTTCCGACCCCTGCGCACGCCCTACCCGTCGATCTCCGGCCCCGTGCTCACCTTCCCGCCGGACTGCCGCCGATCTGCGTGCGGCCCGCTCTCCGTCCCTGCTACTGCAATGCACCCTCCCTGGTACGGTTCTCCATCACCTTGCACCGCACTGCACCCCGCTGAACCGCACGGTACCGCGCTGCACCGCACTGTACCGCGCTGCAATGCACTGGACCGCACTGCACTGCCTCACCTGGCCCTATCCTGCACTATTCCTGATGGCGGCGGAGCTTCGCTTCGACGCTGAAGGCCAGCCTCTAGAGTTCGAGGCCTGGCTAACCGACCTCCGCCGCCACCTTACTGGTCAGCGGCAGGATGGCCACCCGCTCTCGGCACACCTTGACGGTACGCTTCCCTGCCCAGACCCCCCTGCTGTGCTGCCCGCTGACCCCACACCTGCTGAGCGCGAGTCTGCTGCGGCCGCTGCCCTCGCTCGCTCTGTCTGGCTTTCCCGTGACGCTGTCGCCCAGCTTGCCATTAGCAATGCCCTCCCCCCGTCTGAGCATCCTCGCTTTAGGTCTATCACCACCGCCCAGGCTTTCTTAGACGCTGTTATCCGGCGCTATTCCGCCCCGCCTGCTGCCTCGATGGGTCGCCTGATCCTTCCGATGCTCTTTCCTGGCCTTGCGTCTTTCCCCACTATCGCTGACCTGGCTGCCCACCTGCGCACGATAGATGAGACCTGGCGCGCTGCCTGCACTGACGCACAGCTTAGAGCCCACCAGCCGCCCCTTACCTCTACCCTCTACCTGCTTGCCACCCGCCTCCCCGACCGCCTTGCCGCTGCTCGTGACCGCTTTCTTAGCATTCACCCCGGTGACCTCACCCTCACAGACTTTGTAGACACCCTGACTATTATTGAGACCCGCCACCGCTCTATCGCCCAGGCGAGTGGTACTGTGCCGGTCCCTATCTTTCAGGGTTGTGCCCCTGCTCAGTGCACCTTCTCCGATGGTTCTGCAGCTGTGGCTGAGACCGCCGCTGCAGCGCAGTTCCGTCTGGGGAAGGGCCGCCGCCCCAAGGCTGGGCGCGGCCGAGGTGGTGGGGGTGCCAGTGGAGGTGGTGGTGGAGTCGGGTCATCTGGTGGTGGAGTGGACGAGGGGACCTCGCCAGGTCCAGCTGAGCAGCAGCAGCAGCAGCCGCCGCAGACGAGGCAGGCGAGTGCCCTCCCGCCCGGGTGGCCTGGCGCTGGTGGTGGTCGTGCGCGTGGTGGTGTGCCGGGTGGCGGTTCGGGAGGCGTGCGCTATCAGTACCAGATCTAGACCGTTCCTCGCCGCGGCTTCGTTTGCGGTAAGATCGGTCACGCCACTGCCCACTGTTTTAGCCTTTGTTCGAGTGCTATCTCTTGGAGATCCACTCGCTCGTCATCTATTGCTCAGTCCAGCTGTGAGGCTGAGATTTACGCCGGTGCCATGGCGGCACAGGAGCTCCGCTGGCTTACCTTTTTGCTCACAGACTTAGGTGAGCGGCCTAGCTCTGCCCCGGTCCTGTACGCTGACAACAGGGCCATGATTCTCCTGTGTCAGGAGCCTTGACTTGAGGGCAGAGCGAAGCATATTCAGCTGCGGTACTTCCTCCTGCGCGAGCTACAGCAGCGTCGCCAGGCCCGCGTAGTTCACTTGGCCTTCGGTGCCAAAACAACGGATGTCTTTACTAAGGCGCTTGCGCCTAAAGATCATAGGCGGCACCTATCTGATCCATGTCCAACTCAAAGATCGGCACTCCCTGGCGGAGCAGGCTGTGCTAGTCGGGGAGGTCCGGGGCCGGGCCAAAGCGACGACGAAAGAGATCGTCGAGGCGGCGGAAACAGCGGGCGATCGGGTGCGGTCGGCGGCACAGAGTGCCACGGAGAGGCCCTGTCTGAAGCTGGTACTGGCAGGTAACAGCACCGGAGCTGCCGGTAGACGCCAAGCTGCGCGGGCCGCCACCACGGCCACCACCGCCAGAGGTGCCCGGCCAACCAGGCGGGAGACGAGCCCACGGCTGCGGCGGCTGCTGCTGTGACGGCGGTTGCTGCTGGGGCTGCTCCTGCTGCGGAGGCGACTTCGTCTGCTCCTGCCCACTGGTGGTAGTCCCCTCAGGCGGACTACCGTCACCACCACCACCACCACCACCACCAGCTCCACCACCACGACCTCCCTGGCGGCCACGGCCAGTGCGGTGCGGGCGCTGCTGCGAGTGGACCGCAGCAGCCGTCTCGGTAAGGGGGGTCGTAGTGGCGACCGGAGCCAAAACGTCAGTTAACGTGCACTGGGAGGGGGCACAGCAGTGAAAGATAGATACTGCCGGCGCACCGCTCGACTGAGCGTTAGTGCGCTGGCGAGCCTCGATCTCGGTGAGGGTGTCCACAAAGGCGGCCAGGGTGAGGTCACCTGGGTGCTGGCTAAGGAAGCGGTTGCGAGCACTAGCTAGGCGGTCCGGCAGGCACATGGTGATAAAATAGAGCGTCATGCAGAATAGGGGGAGGAGCGCAGTAAGCTGGGCAGCAGTGCTGGCAGTGCGATAGCGAGACTCTAGAGCACGCAAGTGAGTGGCAAAGTCTGCAACAGTAGGGAAGGCAGCAAGGTCTGGGAACAGCATCGGAAAGAGCAAGCGGCCGGCAGAAGCGAATGCAAGCGTGGAATAGCGAGCAACAACATCGTCTAAATAAGCTTTGACCGTATCAACCGTAGCGAAACGCGAGCGCTCAGACACAGGGAGGGCGTGAGTGATAGCAACCTGAGCTACTGCATCGCGAGAGTCCCAGACCGCACAGGCAAGCGCAGCAGTAGAGAAAGCCTCACTCTCAGCAGAGGTGGGGTCAGCAGGGAGGGGAGCAGGTGCAGGGGGGCGGGGGAGCAAGCCATCAGCATGGACAACCAAAGAGTGGCCATCCTGGCGTTGACCTGTAAGCTGACGGCGGAGATCGGAGAGCCAGGAGGCGAAGTCAACCGCGTGGCCTTCAGCGTCCATTTGGAGCATGAAGTCAGCCATCGTGCAGGGTCAGCGACATTGCTCCTCAGTGAAATAGCGGCACAGGGACACAGCGGCACAAGTCCACAGCTCCGCAGGAGCACAGCGGCACAGGGACACGACGGCAGCACTCTCCAGTAGGGCGGCTGCGAGGCGCTCCAGCACGGGCGGGCAGAAGACACGGGGCCCGAGGTGGCGCGACAGGCCGATCAGGCACGAGGAGGGGCCGGGCGGGCAGTAGGAGGGGCCGGGCTGGCGCTGGGAGCCGGGCAGGCACGACGGGGCCGGGCAGGCGCGACAGGCCGGGCGGCGCGAAAGGCCGGGCGGGCGCTAGGAGGGGCCGGGCGGGCAAACTGGGGCCGGGCGGGCGCTGGGCGGCCGGGCAGGCGCGACTGGGGCCAGGAGGGCGCTAGGAGGGGCCGGGCGGGCGCGGGGAGCCGGGCGGGCGCGGAGAGCCTGGCAGGCATGAAAGGCCAGGCGGTGCTAGGAAGAGGCCGGGCGGGCACTGCTGGGGCCGGGCTGGCGCTAGGAGGGCTGGGATGGCGCTACTGGGGCCGGGCGGGCACTAGGAGGGGCCGGGCGGGCGCTACTGGGGCGGACGGGCGCTAGGAAGGGGCCGGGCCGGCGGTCAAAGGGCCGGGCGGGAGCTAGGAGGGGCCTAGCGGCCGCGAC